CATATGATATGATCATCATAAAATAAATACAGAAGTACCTAACTAATTTTAATGAAGCTCTCAGAAAAATAGTCCGAGTTAGTTGGGGATCGAGTTATGGCAGTTGGTGTTAAATTTCAATTACCTGTTAACGCTCTTACTCCCAAGATCTTATTGTCAATTCTAACCTCCAGCTGTTACAGATTTCCTTGTAAATTAGTTATGAGAATTTGGTGTTAGATGAGGATAACAAAGATCTACCTGATAAGTTTGAGTACTCCCCTAACCTGTTTGCTGAATAATGTAGAGATATTATAGGGAGAAGTTTAAGGTTAATCTTTTCTGGGAGTTAAAGGGTTAACATTTCATAAGGAATCATGTTTTCACCATTCTTGTAAAATCATTGGTCTTTTTGTACATTTTATTTTTAATGAGCTTCTTGATAAGAACGTTTTGTTGAGAAACTTAGCGATATGTGTAAAGGACGAATATAGGCTGAGATATCTAACACAGTAGTAGAGAAAATTTTTAACGTTGAATTAAAATTTTTTAATCTTAGATTTGATGCAGTCTCATTATTTTCTCTTGGCAGTACACAGCTGACTGGTTCTGACACTTTGACGTGTATCGACTGACATTTGTATTCAAAGTTCGAGTTATCAGGGTAAATTTGAGCCAAAGGAAAGTAAAACTAGTTCGAGTTAAGGGGAGCTCGAGTTAACCGAGTTCGGGTAAGCTGATAAAAACGACTTCAGTATGGTTAGTTATAAATAGGCATGCGAGCCAGGTGACTTAGGAAGATTACAGAAACTTTGAAAGTTTTGAAGCTCAGTTCATCTATTTCACCCACATTGGGTACATTTGCCTAAATTATGTTGCATCTCTTGCGAGTCAGTTAATACTCATTAATATTCTTCTTTTTCGATTATATACAGATACGAATATGAGCAGAATGCAAAAATGGGTGATTAACTTCATGAACTCATTTTCCTTTTTTAGTTTATTTAATTTCCCTTTTGATGCTGGCGGACAAAACAGGAATATTTTTCAATTCTTGATATCTTGACAATAGCCTTTACCGTGCAATATCATCAGATTCAATGACAGTTAAATTGGTGGGGAGAATTTAGCCGTTTAAATAAAAAATTTCCCATTATAGCAAGGAAGCCACTCTTAATATCTACCAGCAGGACTATGCGGAGCAATATCACAGATTCTGAAATTATTTCCGCAATGCAGGATAGCTAGTGGCAAGGGACCCCCCTGGAGAACGAAAAGAAGTAAAGAACTAAATATGGTTGATGTTAAAAAATCTGAGGAGCCATGTTTTCTTCCAACTTTGCAGTGACGGATCCAGGGGGAGGGGTCCGGGGGATCCGGACCCCCCCCCCCATCAGACCTGACGCTTACTACTTTGAGACTGAAATTCTTACATCGACAGGATCGTATATCACTTTTTAAGTGGCTGATTTTTTTAAGGAAGTGCGCGTGGCATTTTTCCACTAAACTAAATTCCAGGGATATTGAAAAATGTAATGGTTTTTGGTACTCCCTATGATCTGTTCGCCTCTCCTCGCAAAGCAGTATTTCCCGCGCCAGCGGCGACCGGTGTTCACAGATTGAGATTGGTCGTTTCTGTTTTCTCAGCTGGTCGACAATTATGGCGATATCTCGGCCGATAACCACGTTCTTTCAACCAGTCAAATCCAATGATATTGAAAATGAAACAGTTAACGGTGAAGAAGCTGAAGCTGAAGCCACGGAATTTGAAAACGGTAAGTTGTTTTACGCTTTTATTCCATTTCCTGAGAAATGTTAGTGACTATGGTTTAGAAGTAAACATTTGTACGTTTGTCGTTTTAATTGAGCTTTCTGATTTTGATGCAGAAGTCTTAGTGGAAGGTCCAGTTTCAAATGGTGTTATCGAAGGTAAATGCTGCATTGAAATTGTTTTTTTTTTTTTTGGACAGGGTACGTAAAATTAAATATCTAAACAAGCCTGAGGAAAACAAAATCGACGCAGCCAATTATTTACAGACCCGGCGTCTGAGAAGAACTCAGTATTGAAATACATTTTAACTTATTTTACTGCATTTAGGAACAAATGACGCTATTAGTTAGGTACTTTTCGCTGCTTTATAGGTGGCTATCAGCATCATGTTTAACTTATCATTATTTTATCATTCTTGTGCGGTTTATCGAAAATGTTTTACATTTTCACTTCAGACTTAAGATCCAAACGCGGCATTTTGTAGTGCCGCTCGGGCTTCCGCTTGCTTTGCGAAAGTTTGTCAAGCGTGCGTTTCATCGGTCTTAATACACGTAAAAACCGCGTCCAAAACGAAACAAAATGGAAAATAAATAGAAAAAATGTACGGACGGCTTGCCTCTGCGGAAAAAAGTTGAATGTGGTTCAACTCTTAGTTTCCGCAGACGCAAGCCATCACACACGAAAAGCCAGTTAAATTCACGCCCATATATCTAAATAAAATTTACAATAGTAATGGTAGCTAAAAATATATAAGAATAAATTATTTTAATGTAATATATCTGAGTTAATGATTACTAAAAGCTTCATTAAACAGAAACGTTTTAATAGCTTTTTTAAATTTATCCAAACACTTAATCATTCTAATTTCATAAGGAAGTCTGTTCCATAAGTATGGTGCTGCTGCCTGAAAAGACCGAGCTCCAAATGTCTTCAGCATCTTACCCTTAGGGGGCTCTAAGTAAAGACCGTCATTAGATCGAAGACAATAAGAAGATTTTGATTTAATAGATATAAGGCTGTTAATATATGACGGAGCTAAATTATGAACCGCTTTAAAAGTAAGTAGAAGAATTTTAAATTTAATGCGAGCCTGGATTGGAAGCCAGTGTAACTCATATAGAATAGGAGTAATATGCGAGTACCTTCCAACGTTCAATAGCAGTCTTGCGGCTGCATTCTGTACACGTTGTACTTTAGCTATCAGTTCCTTTGAGGCACCATACAAAAGACTGTTACAATAATCTAATCTATTCGTTATAAACGCATGAACTAAAGTATGGAGACTGTCTTCGTGTAAATATTTCTTAATGCTTCTAATGTTATGAAGGTAAAAGAATGCAGATTTGCAAATATTTGTAATATGCTTAGACATGCTTAGGTTAGCATCCAACCAACAGCCTAGATTTTTAACCTCGGAGCTATTATTAATTACCGAGTTGCCAACGGAGATACTGATTGGCTGTAGTTTAGATAATTGTTGTTTGGAGCCTATTAAAATCAGTTCAGTCTTGCTATCATTAATTAACAGTCTATCATGAATCATCCACTTCCTGATCTCTTCAATACAGTTCTCCAGTTGCAGTACGGGGTTTCAGAAATTTCTCAGTAGCCTATATTGATGTCAAGAAACATCGATTCAAGGAGACACAATCTGCAGCTCATACTATTTGTAACACTCTATGTTTGTCTCATGGACTTTACTATTTAAATTTGAGTGGCCACCTTCTCGCAAGTCATGCGCCAGTTGGAGCATTTGATCCTAAATGATTGCATTGCATTGAAGGACATATCCCCGATTTCTTTTTTGTAAAAATTTAACTTTCCTTTCGCTTAACAGTGAAGTTATTCACGAGGGTGAGCTCTTGCAGTCTGTACTGCCGCTGTCAAATCTATTTTTCCTGGGTATAAAGGGAAACGAGTTATCTTTAGAGTCACTTAAAAGAAATGTGCAGAACATTTAGCAAGCTTTCTGTTCTCAACTTAGACCTTAATATAGTAAATCGATCAGAATTTTTATCCTTAGCAAGCGAATTTGATATCACTGTCAACAATGCTTAATTAAAGGGTGCAGTACGTTGACTCAGTTAAGAAACATTTATCAGTAAACATTTAGCTTGTCAGTGTTCAGTTTTCATATCACGGTCTGTTAAAAATCAATTTGGCGATTTATCAATAAACGACTTCCTTGGTTTATAGGTGTTTCCCAATTTTCTTCCACTGATCAGCATGTTGTATCCTACTTTGATGTCGGGGACATCGTAAGTGGCAAAGTTGATCCAAGAACTCTTCAGTCCCATGAAAAAATTAAATACCTTAAGAACCATTTCACTCCGCCTCCTTCATACACAGGCTTTTTCTCCAAGACTGTGGTTAAGGGAAAAGACAAACATACCAAGAAGCATGTGTTCCAGCCCTCGTGGTAGGAAAAGTATACGTGGCTTGTATATAGTCCTTCACAAATGGGAGGTTTTTGCAAATATTGAGTGATGCTTAATAATCCATCAGATCCTCGAGCACAGAAAAGGCCTCTAGTAACAGCTCCATTCCAAGAGCTAGAAAAAGCCACTGGGAGAGAAAGGGTACTTGAGCGTCATCAGAAAATGCAATGTCACCAGTGGGCACTTGAAGCCGGCATTGCCATAACCCGAAGTGTTCAAAAACCAAAGGAAACCTTGCCATACAGGATTTCCACGCAAAACTAAGAGATGTTTGAAAAAGACATGAATGCACTTAGAGCAATCATAAGTACCATAATATTGTGTGGCAAACAGAACATCTCTCTTAGAGGCCATCGAGATGACAGCACAGGCACGGCATCCAACAAAGGCAACTTTCATGCCATTCTTTTGCTATTGGGAAACTCTGATAAAAATCTTCAAGAACACTTACTTACTGGTAGGAAAAATGCTACAAGCACCTCAAAAACTGTACAAGAGGAAGTCATTCGCATCACTGGAGGGTATATTCGGGCGAAAGTAACACAGCCGATTCAGAAGGAAGACGCTTTTTCTCAATCATTGGCGATGAGGTAACAGATAAATACGCGAACCAAGAAATATTTAGTGTTTGCCTTAGGTTTTTAGATCTTAACAACGACGTTTCACTTAAGTTCAAAGAAGTAATTTTTGACTATGTCAACCTTGACAAAACAACTGGTGAGAGCATAGCAAACGCTATTTTGTCAAGTTTGGCCGAGAACAACATCGATGTGGCGTTTGCAAGAGGACAGGCCTATGATGGTTCCAGTGCCATGTCCTCAGAAGCATGTGGTGTGCGAGGAAGAATAAGGAGAATAGCACCGCTGGCACTGTTCACTCATTGCAACAGTCACGTTTTGCATCTCAGTGTTGCAGCCGCATGCAGGTTAACTTCAGTCAGAAACATGATTGGAACCTTAAATTAAACTTTCATTTTCTTTCATTTTTCACCTACAAGACAGCAATTTCTAGGACAAGTTTTAGAGAAGTATGGTTCTACTTCCAGAAAGGAGAAGTTAAAAGGCTTATGCAAAACCCAATGGGTGGAAAGGCATGAATGTTACGAGACTTTCTACGAATTTTACGAGTACGTTTGCATAAGCTTGGAAGCGATAGTTGATGATGAGTCGCATCCTCATGTTTATTCCTCGTTATCGTTCACGTGGGACAGGGAGACTAAAACCAAGGCACAAGGTCTTCTGGCAAATTTGAAGACATTCGGATTCATTTCCACCTTTTTGATCACAAAGAATAGCCTTGGAACACTCAAACCTATTGCAGCTAAGCTTCAGAAGAAAGACCAAGATGTCCTCCCAGCGTATTCTATGATTGACGACACTATTAAAGCAGTTGCCAGGGTGAGGTCAAACATAGAAGAGGAATGTCATGAATGGTTTGAAGACGCATCTAGACTGGCTGACAAGTCTCAGTGCCAAGAATCACTGGGAGGCAGGAACATAGGAACAATGCACCTAGCGTAAACCCGGAATCGCATTATCGTGTTAACTTTGCTATACCTTTCATAGATCATTTATTGGAAGAAATGAGTTCAAGATTCAGCGAAGACAACAGGGCTGGGGCCGAAATTTTTTCCTTGGTTCCATCTGTTGTGGTGAAGCATGACAGTCTTCGTAATTTAGCAGAAAAGCTTCAATTTTGGCAACAGGACTTCCCTACACCGTCTTCTCTTCTTTCAGAGTTAAAGGAATGGCAATACTTTTGGAGACATTACACACCCACTTTACAGCTACCGGGAAATCTTATCGAGTGTGTAAAATATGCTGATGAGGATATGTACCCCAACATACGAGTTTTGCTTATTATTGGTTGTACCCTTCCTGTTAGTTCTGCCGAAGCTGAACGTTCATTCTCTGGCTTGCGACGAATCAATCATATCTCAGAAACAGGATGTCTGATGAGCGGTTATCAGGACTTGCACTCATGCACTTACATCATGACCTTGACATTGATGTTGACGAAATCTGTACAATCTTTGTAACCAAACACAAGAGGAGGATGTTCCAAGGATGCATCCTTTACGAGTAGAATCCGGGTAAACGGTAAGCGGCCCAGGAATTAAAACGTGCAACCGCGACCGGTGGGAGGGGGTGTGGGGGGTGTGTGGGAGAAGTAATTTGCCTCAAAAGAGTCCTAATAGTCCTTTCTGTACCAAAGTTTGGATCCCCCCCCTCAAAAATTCCTGGATCCGCCCCTGCTTTGTGATTAGATTATCTTACATTGTGTTAAATGTATTCTTGAGGCAAAGCTAAATAGATTTTTAGTAAAAAGTAACGTCACTGACAGAAATGGAAAAAAACCGCAACTTCCGATAAGTACAATTCTAATCATTTTCCAGATACAACTCTACTTTCTTCGCAGAGTCCAGAGAAATGCCTCAAAGCAACTTAACGGGTCTAATTCGAAATAACCTAAGGGGCGGTACGCAAAGCTTATTATCTTTGTAGAAACAATCCATGTTTAAGGAAGACAACGGTTAATCGTTGACACATGGTCCACAAATAGTCCTAGCCAAATGTTACAACAACATATAACAGGAACAAGCTAAAACACGTAAAAAGAAGAAACTCAAAAATAGCCTGAAAAGCGGCGCAGGTGAAGCTGATTTCACCTCCATGATTGAAGACCAAGGCCTATTTTAGGCTAACTCCGACAAACCCTTTTTTATACTGGTCATGGTTTTGAAATTAAAACAGTCCTGAAACTGTGTTGATTAGATAATCCAGAGAATATACATCACTTTCAACTGACGGTCTTCCGTTCCGTCTTCAAGCTTCGGCGAAATACAACTACTCTTATAATGAATTTTTAAATGCGAAGGTTTTGGAACGGTATTTTTAGCTTTTCCGAAGACAAGACTCTCGCCAAAACAGGGTAAAGTTGGTCTTCACGTTTCTCTAAAAAAACGTTAATGCATTTTGAGTCATTGTGAGAAAATTCACACTTATGAATACCGTCCGACGCAACTGCCGTGTAAGGAGGGTAAAGAAGAGATTAAAAATAACCCTCAGGTGTACAATACCCAGGAGGGTATAATAGAGATTAAAAATAACCCTTAGGTGTACACTACCCACGGGGGTACAGGAGAGATTGAAAATAACCCTCAGGTATACACTACCCAAGAGGGTATAGAAGAAATTAAAAATAACCCTCAGGTATGCATTACCTAAGAGGGCATAGAAGAGATTAAAAATAATCCTCAGGTATACACCACACAAGAGGGTGTAGAATATATTAAAAATAACCTTTAGGTATACACTACCCTAGAGGGTATAGAAGAGATTAAAAGTAACCCTCAGGTATACACTTCCCAAGAGGATTATAGAAGATTTTAAAAATTAACCCTCGGGTATAAGCTACCAAAGAGGGCACGAAAAATTGAATTTAACACTTATTAAAATCAGGAGACCGCTCATAGTCTTGACCTTTTCTTTCGACTGAAAGTTGAGGCATCCACCGTTAACTTATAAAATCATTCTAACATACAAGTTCCCGAATGTTATTGTCAAGCTCGGCTATTCTTGACTGACATCTCTGCAATTCCCCATGATTATTCGACTAAAGACATTCCCGGCTAAAGTGTACGGTCGAGAGCGATTTGACTAAATGCCGCATAAACAACAGGATTATATTTTGAGACCTCACGAGTCCATCTGCTGGAAATTTTCGCTGTCTAATTAGTCCGGCACAAAAACCAAATGAACATACAACATACATGTTGTTTGGTTACCTGGTGTTGAACGAACAGCCTTTGTTGGCGCGCTGAAGACTCGCTGGCGGGACAGATGGTATTGCAGTCATCAGGGAATAGACGAAACATTTCTTTCTTTGCAAAAGCATTCGGCTTGATTCCACATTAACTTTTCGTTGGCACATACCAGCGCTTTTTGGGGTCGTATTTGGATGCCGTAACTCTAGAAAGCTCAGCCGATCGATCGAAGACTTCAGCCTCCATGATGAGATCGCGCCAAGTGATTCCGATCCAAGATTTATTGTGTTTTCGCGCTTAGATGAAGTATTAATTATTAGGTGAACCTTTAACTTATAATCAACAGTTTTAAGTAACCGCATAAACACCTACCAACTGCTAGCTTTGATATAACTCTCTACATCGATGACAGAAATGATAGCGCGTCTGTAAAATGCACGCTGTGAATTTTTTTTCGGTGCCAAAGCTCCTCGTGTTATTTCATCTTAGTAAGGTGCGTAATTACAAAAAAAGCCTGAATTTTACGACGATTGATGTCCGATTACAGCTGCCAAATGAGAAACGGGTGATAGCGTTGATTACGATCAGTGGTACAGAAAAAACATTCAGCGACTTATGGTTTGTAGACAACAAGTACAGGAAAACTAAACATAACTTTATATTGATGAAAATAATGTCAAAAAAATGCTCTTCCATTAACACTGTTTCAGTCAATACCGAACGACGAATTACACAGGCAACATGTATATATTTATTACTGATATCATGAAGAAGGCCGAGGAAGCTTCATGTTGTACTTGCAACCTAAAGATTAAATTCAATTTCAGAACATGATTTGTTCGACGGCACTCGTTGAGTTTAACTTTAATAGTTTAGAGTAATATTTCCTCTTTAAGCTGCAAGATCTTAAAGCGTTACCTGTTGTGGAATAAACAGGTCAGTTTTGTCTACGGTTCTCACAGAAGACATAAGGTCTATAATACGATTCTACTGAAACCAGCAAAACAAATGTTCTTATCTTTGGATCAGTTTGCTAAAAAACCAAACTGATAGTTGTTGATGATTATATAGTTACATCCATCAGAGTGCTTACGGTAAGTTCATGTCCTAGACTGCATAGCTACCTTCAGAGACAACAGTGCACTCTTCGTGGTTGATTCAATCTTTCATGATTTTAAAAGAATACAGAAAAGTGAAGATAGTGTTGTACACCGCGAGAAACAGGAAGACGCCGAGCATGATGCGAGAGGTACGTTTGGCCTTATTCATTATAAGAAAAGCTGCAGGGTGAAAAACTTGGAAATAGACTCTTCCAGAATTTGTTTTAAGGAAGCCAATTTCCATATCGTAACTGGAAAGAGCGATCATTTCGAGTTCAGCGACAGTCACCTCGTACAAGACGTTGAGCGTCTGCAGATCATTCTTCAACGGCTGTTTCTTGACGAGTGGAAGAGATTTTCTGTTGACCATTTCGTGTTGCAAGTAGAAAGCAATAAATGGAAAACCAAAGATCAGGAAAATTACGGCGGCAGGGAGCGAAGCAGCACCACCAAAACTTAACACAGCAACAATAATTGAAAACCACAAAGGTACACCGCGGTAAATAGGTAGGTCTGCTTTAGGCATGAAGCGCCTGCTCTCTGTGATGAAGATATTCGTGAAACGATGCACAGAAGCGTGAGGAATATTTACTTTACGGCCAACACTGTCTATTCTGATTTGCCTGTAGCGAAGAAGTTCAGCCGCGAATGACGCAGACATTGTCGCACCGATAAGAAACGTTCCTGAGCCTAGTCACGGTCGTGTAACGATTCTATCCGCAAACAGAAGCCGATTTAGTTCTTTTCTGTCTCGGCAGCGAGGATAATTGATCGTTCCTCGTCTAGCGAGCTATGCCTTTAGTGTTTTACTGCTTATAAAGCTGAAGAATGTGAACAAACGATGACAAATTCTGAGAAGACTTTCGAAGAATCACAATTTAGCCTGAAGCAAAACAATGATTAGCTATTTCGGTCTTTCTGGGAAAATGAACTCGAGTCAATCAATCTCAAGGATTACTCCAACTGTCATGGGAACCTATGGGTTTACATTAAATTTTGTTGGAATCGGATTCCAAAAAACGCAAGGTATCATAGCAGTGGAAAGGAGGATGGATACCGGCTATTTTACATTTTCTTATAGAGAGATAATTTCGTATACGAAGAAGTAATTTAGGAAAAACATTTAACAATAAAAAATTGCGATAAAATGTTTCTTAAAAACATTTTAAGATTGCTAAAAAACGACGACGTTTCGATGTTGGCTAAACGTCATTATCAAGTCAAAAAAATATTTGCTAGTTGAAGTCTATATATACCCAAATAACAACGGGTGAAAAAAAGCTATACCGTTAGAAAAGAACATTAGTAATTAAACAAAAAGTTTGGCACGTTCGGAGTCCGCCTGGATATTTAGATGAGGCTTTAGATTCTTGATGAACAACATTATTTCAAAGACTAAACAATCAAATATTCCCTGGCACTTTCTTAAAACTCTAAATTGGTTTTCTGTCAAGAGGTGGTTGCTGCTGTGAGCTTCCACGAAATGTCGACCGATTACCGAATGTTTGTGCTCAGCAAAGCGTTGAACTGGCTAGCTCAACGCTACGTTCAATCGCTTTGAATTACATTTAGCGTGCAAGCCCTAATCCAGCTAAGGCTCTTGTCAAAGCTCTCAATCGCTTAAAGAAACGGGACGACATTGTTATCACTATGCCCGCTAAAGGTTCTGAAGTTGTAGTGATGGACAAACCCGAATACATCCGCCTCCTGAGCGTTGCTTCAATTGACAACAACTCTAAATTTTCACACGTTGATAACCTATTGTCTACGCAGAATGTGTCAAATTATTAATTTTCAGTCGTCTTGACTACCCTAGGGGCCTTATTGATTCCGCTATCAATAACTTTATTTTTAGAAATGCTTCGGCAGGCACAGCAGAAAGAAACACCGATGATATTAACACAGAAAGAATCAGTCTTCCATTCAAAGATCAAGTGGCCACTAATGCGGTTCGGAAGCAGTAGCGCGATCTTAGCCATAAGATTCTCCCTGCGTTGCAGCCTGTTTTTGTGACAAAGAAATTAGGGCAGGATCTTAAACCCAAAGAAATCAAGCCGTCAATTGTGAATCGGCAATGCGTTGTTTACCGTTTCTCATGTGACCTTTGCGATACAGATTATGTCGGGTACACAGCCAGAAACTTTCATCAACGCACTGCTGAGCACAAATATTGGGCAATCGGTCGACATTTCTTGGAAGCTCACGGTAGCAACCACCTATTGAAAGAAAACCAATTTAGAGTTTTAAGAAAATGCCAGGAAAAATTTGATTGTTAAGTCTTTGAAATGCTGTTCATCAAGAATCTCAAGCCTAATTTTAATATCCAGATGGATTACATACGTGCCAAACTCTCTGTCTAATTACTAATGTTCTTTTCTAACGGTATAGCTTTTTGTCACCTATTGTTGTTTTGGTATATATAGACTGCAACTTACAAATATTTTTTTTGACTTGATAATGACGTTTAGCCAACGTCGAAACGCCGTCGTTTTTAGCAATCTTAAAATGTTTTTAAGAAATATTTTATCGCAATTTTTAATAGTTAAAGATAATTTCGTAAGCTTTAAAACCACTCTTTGTAAATATGTATCCATGCAAACCAGCCATGCTTATTATTGCCTATCACAAGTTGATGTTAGTCTAAGAGGTCAGCACCTGGGTGTGTTGTCACGCCATGTTCATGTTGAATGATTTCAAGAATTCAAATTTAACCAATAAATCCACTCAATTCTCATAAACAAGAGTTGAATATATCTAATTGTTTTCGGATTTTGCTGACAAATTCAGTTCTGAAAACTCACGAGCCTTTTCTCAGGTTGTGCCGGTTTCCAGATTACTAAAGCTTTTAAACATAACACAATAGGAATCCTTTGCTTTATTTCTGTGCCTATTTGTATCTACAAATCAGGAATCGCATCTGATCTCCATGATAACTACACTTTTACTATCATCTGCATAAGATATTATCCGTCTAACGTTGACCCGGTTAGTCAATAGGCTACCACAAAGTAGCAATTGTAGACAGACGCCGCCAAGAAAAGGAGATTGAAGCATCAATCGAGACTGACATTTGGCGTCGGACATGTATTTCTTCGCGGTATTGTTGAATGCCTGAAATTTAATCTTTCCCTGAGAAAGTTCAACAAAACCAATACCAGCTTGGTAATTCTGGAGAGCAATCCCATGAAGTTCAGTGATGGTCAGCTCGTAGAATGTGTTGTTTACTCTCTGATCAGGGAAGAAGGGCTGCTTGTGGACAACAGGCAAGGTCTTCTGATTCACCCACTCGTGTTGGCAGTAAAACAAGAAGAACAGTAGGCAGGCAACGAGAAAAAACACAGGAATAAACTTCGATGAACCGGTTGCAACAAGGGCTCCAAAGAGGCTGGCAAAGCACAACCATCGCGCGACTCTTAAAAAGTACGGACAATCGATGTAGGTACGCAACTTATCTTTCGGGAAGTAAGGTTTGCTCTCCTCGATGTAATGATTTGATCTGGCGTGGATTTCGTCTCTGATTTTAACGGTGGTACCAACATCTTTAATTTCAATTTGTTTGGAGCGTACCTGTTCGATTTCGGTTCTCCCTGGGTTAGCGATCAAGCGATCTCTGTCAGACATATTAGTTTACCTCCAAGCAACGACAACCTAAGAATGCAATGAACTAAATTAGTCAGACAAAAATAATTCATTTCTATACTATACTCTTTGCATATTCGCTGTTAATTTGGCATAACAAATCAAATCAGGTGAAATTTTTCAAGATAATAAGCTCTAGGTTCAATCCCTTGTCACCAGATCCGCAGTCAGTTTCATATCATGAGTATTGAGTAGAGACATCTTGAACTACTTCTGTATCAGGGTTTACTGAATGACATCAATTTTACTCCTACCTTTGCTGATTTAGTTCGAAAACCTCGCACGAGTAGACAGTTAAGCACGAAGCTCTTTGCAGTGTGCGAACAACAAGAATCTGTGTTGACATAAGATACCTTCCGCGAAATTGAAAATCTGAATGAACCCATTCCCCCTCCGGACATGGTACTAGGAAACTTCAAGATTCTTTGTAAACCGGAAGAGATTAATGAATTTGTCATCTTCCCGTCAAATCTAGCTTGAGAGGTTAGCAACTTTGAGTTCTGGATGTTATTTATGGTATCATCCTCAAGACGGGTCTCAGTTCTCGCGAGTGATACTGGCTATTTACATATGTTTGCTTGCGCATCTAGCAAAGTTTGGGCCAATTCGGGGTAAAATTTCCGCACAGGCCCATACTATTGTAAAACAAATATATTTTCTGGCTGTGCGGAAATTTCACCCAATTCGGTTTTCTCGGAAATTGTGCCAGATCATCAACCGATGTTAATTGTTTTGGTGAAATTTTCGCACGGCCCCATATTTCATTATGCATTCAGTTCTTGGATAGAGATAACAATGACAAAAACAATACATTGCCATTGGGAAAACAGATTTGTTTTACAATAGTATGGGGCTGTGCGGAAATTTTACCAAGATCTGTGCTGTTACTCAATTTGCTACCAATCTTTAGGAATGTGAAGAAAACGACAAAACTTTTGAGTTTGCAAGACATGTTTCGTCATCAGTCAATTAATGTACAAAGCGTTGGAAGTTTAATTTATAATAAGTAGACAAATGTTAATAAATGGTGACAGCAAGAAAGAGGTGAAGCATGAAAGGGCGAGAGTTAAAGGCCCATTTTCAACCTTGACGCAACGCGCGCCGCGACCCAATTTCCTGTAACACGAAATTCCCAGATCACTGAAAACCTTTTAAAATCGTCTTTCTAAAGAGTCATCCTGGACATATAGCCAACTGTTTTCCGGTATATACATTCGCCGCTCGTCATTTTACAGTTTCCTTACAGTATTTTGAATTTTGTCCAGAAGAATCCGAAGAAAATTTTCTTAGTGTCACTCTTGGATCTCTCCTCACTTTGTATACAAAGTCGGCGAAACGGACAACGTTGGAATTTTTTCACTTTCTGGAAGCGCTTGAGGATTGTAAATGAAGATAGAATATTTTCCAACGAAAAATTGGTGTATTTCAGAGAGAAATATGGAGGTAGTTGAGGACCTTGTCCAGCCGTGTCATTGAACAGTTTTTAAGTGTCAAGCGTTTGGATGGCTTCGTACTTTGAATACAGGGTTAGCGAAAAACATCAAGTTCGAAATTTTAGGCAGCCTGGAAGCGCTTGAGGATTGTAAATAAAGGTAGAACATTTTCGTAGAAACATTTTTTGGATTTCGAGGAGAAATATGGAAAAATATCGGACAGCCTGACGTTTAATTATTTTAAGTTTAGTCACTTTATTACAGGAACGTCAGCGACACTGACAGTTTGCGTTGCAATTCTTATTTGCTGCTTTGCATGGACAACAACCTCGACCACTCTTTCGAGCGCAAGCTCCTCTCCACGGGCAGGAAACTTCAACTGACCCTTGGTCCTATTTAACAAGGATGGCAAATTTGATGAATGGATGAAAACGTGGTGGATCAACATTTTCACCTTCTTGAAATACTTGCAAGGATTTTCGTATTCCTCTTTAGCAACAACCGATCGATAAGCGTATACTGCCTCGGAATCTACAAAATTAATTAACCGAAGATGACAGAAGTTTCTGTCGAAACATGTTTTACAAACTCAAAAGGGTAAAATTTCCGCACAACCTCATACTGTTGTAAAACAAATCTGTTGTCCCAATGGAAATGTATTGCTTTTGTCATTGTTTTCTCTATCCAAGAACTGAATGCATAATGAAGTATGGGGATGTGCGGAAAGTTTACCAAGATCTTAGGCGACTATCAAGTACAAAAGCTAAGATCAAATTTATTTTGAACTTGGGCTGTTTTCTAGTATTCAGTATCTTTCGTAATCGCAAGGGAGCGAAAACCAAATATGAATTAACTTGATGGATGGGATACTTCTTACTAAAACGCTTGTGGAGTTTATCTTGTAACAGTAATTTGCCGTAAGATAAGCATTTTTCTGAGTATTGTCTAATAGGGTATGATATAGGTTTGCTCTATGTGGGAAACGTTTTACAAAAGTATGTTAATGCTATCTTCAGTTGAGTTTCTCAAAACAGAGTTTATCAACGTTTTTCCGTAGCTATATTTATCGGGGTTCCCGCACTATGTTATAAAGGCAAGCCAAGAAGTGCAAAGTACGTGAGTAATTCACTCTTTTAAGATTAAAGAATACAGAAAAATGAATAAAGTATTGTGCACAGCGAGAAACAAGAAGACGCCGAGCATGATGCAAGAGGTACGCTTTGCTTTATCCATAATCTGAAAAGCTGCAGAGTGAAAAACCTGAACTCTAAATTTTCCGGCGGTTGTCACATCGTAGTTAGAAAGAGCGATCGTTTGAAGTTCCTCGAAAATCACCTCGTACAAAGCGTTGAGCGTTTGTAGATCATTCTTCACTGGTTGTTTCTTGACAAGTGGAAGTGACTTCCCGTTTAGCTGTTCGTTTTGCCAATAGATGGTAATGAAAGGAAAACCAAAGATCAGGAAAATGATCGCTCCAGTGAGCGTTGCAGCTCCTCCGAAACTCAACACAGCTACAATAACTGAAAACCGCACCGGGACACCGCGATAAGTTGATAGATATGTTCAAGGCATGAAATGCTTGCTTTCATCGATGAAGATGTTGGTGAATCGAAACACGAGGCGTGAGGAATATTCACTTTGTGGTTTGCCTTAAGCGAAGAAGCTCAGCCGACTCTAACTTGGACATTCTACTGAGATACTGTTTAGCCAGTCGAAAAAATCTCCAATGAACGAGGACGATTGAGTTATAGGACCACTGAGAAGGTCGTCGACGTAACTTGTTACTCTCACTTTTCCTACGAGTAATTGTATCGTAAGTCGACTTAAATTTTATAACTTTGAAGAAATGGTAATTTGTAGATATCAAAAATCTTCGGCGAGCCTGAGTAAGATATCCATAACGCCTCGTGATAACTTAATTACAGAGCAATGTTGCCCCTTCTTGAAACTAATGACGTAGGAATGCGAGACTACGGAATCCCAGGTGATTCAACTATCTATGTTTTGATTAAATAGGGTTTCACTTGTTCAAGGAATTTTGGGTCATCCGCGTTATGAATATGGTAATGAACATTTCATGCGACTAATCAAATCTTTCCCAATTAGTCTGACAGGCACTGGAAAGAGTTTAAAAGCAAACATGAGGAAGCGTTTTCGATGACTACCCAAAATGACCGCCGCCGTAAACTCCTTAACCGTATACACATTGCTTGGTCCCTTTTTTTGACTCCTTACAGCCCCTCCCGACCCTCCTCGAACTCAAATAGACGACTGTCGATCCTAGGCAGGTACTGCCTTTTCACGTCGTTTCATTGTCTTCGATCCCATTATCGTTTGTCTGATGCATGCTGACATTAGCTCTTAAAAAAAGAAAAGAATGGACTGTTATGCGAAGATGAAGACTGAAAACCATTCGCGTTCAAAATACCTTATTACATAGTAAAGTTTGGTACCTCAGTGGAGTATTCTCTCCGCAATACGTAGTAAACTCTTCCCTGGATATTTTTCAGAGAGTTCTTGTTTGTGAAATGGCTGCCTTCGTTCAACTCGCAGTATATGGTGTCGTTCTTGACTTTGTAGTTTATCGACAAGCGTCGACAGTCGTTGATACACCACAGAAAGCATTGCCGTGGGTTTGAAGTCACAGAATTGTGGAAGACATGGCCGACAAGCTCCTTGTCATGATTGGCATCTTGGTTCACATTAAGCGAGACCTGTCACATTCTGTAGTGAGGCAGTAGCTCCTTACCTCATTAAGCAAAGCTGAAATGGATGTAAAAAAAATTTTTTTCCCAACATTTTTATTGTTTCCACTCCCAACTCGAACAAACGATGTTTCTCAAAATGTCCTCCTTGAGCTGATTGTTTATTCAAGATATCGCCTTTCTCTGTGTGTCATTTTAGTGGTGAGAAACCAATCAGATAAGTCTAGTAATATGATCATCATAAAATAAATACAGAAGTACCTCACTAATTGTAATGAAGCTCTCAGAAAAATAGTCCGAGTTAGTTGAGGATCGAGTTATGGCAGTTGGTGTTAAATTTCAATTACCTGTTAACGCTCTTACTCCCAAAATCTTATTGTCAATTCTACCCTCCAGCTGTTACGGATTTCCTTGTAAATTAGTTATGAGAATTTGGTGTTAGATGAGGATAACAAAAATCTACCTGATAAGTTTGAGCACTCCCCTAACCTGTTTGCTGAATAATGTAGGGATATTATAGGGAGAAGTTTAATGTTAATCTTTTCTGGGAGTTAAACGGTTAACATTTCATAAGGAATCATGTTTTCACCATTCTTGTAAAATCATTGGTCATTTTATACATTTTATTTTTAATGAGCTTCTTGATAAGAACGTTTTTTTGAGAAACTTAGCGATATGTGTAAAGGACGAATATAGGCTGAGATATCTAACACAGTAGTAGAGAAAATTTTTAACGTTGAATTAAAATTTTTTAATCTTAGATTTGATGCAGTCTCATTATTTTCTCTTGGCAGTACACAGCTGACTGGTTCTGACACTTTGACGTGTTTATCGACTGACATTTACATTCAAAGTTCGAGTTATCAGGGTAAATTTGAGCCAAAGGAAAGTAAACCTAGTTCGAGTTAAGGGGAGCTCGAGTTAACCGAGTTCGGGTAAGCTGATAAAAACGACTTCAGTATGGTTAGTTATAAATAGGCATGCGGGCCAGGTGACTTAGGAAGATTACAGAAACTTTGAAAGTTTTGAAGCTCAGTTCATCTATTTCACCCACATTGGGTACATTTACCTAAATTATGTTGCATCTCTTGCGAGTCAGTTAATACTCATTAATATTCTTCTTTTTCGATTATATACAGATACGAATATGAGCAGAATGCAAAAATGGGTGATTAACTTCATGAACTCATTTTCCTTTTTTAGTTTATTTAATTTCCCTTTTGATGCTGGCGGACAAAACAGGAATATTTTTCAATTCTTGATATCTTGACAATAGCCTTTACCGTGCAATATCATCAGATTCAATGACGGTTAAATTGGTGGGGAGAATTTAGCCGTTTAAATAATAAATTTTTCATTATAGCAAGGAAGCCACTCTTAATATCTACCAGCAGGAATATGCAGAGCAATATCACAGATTCTGAAATTATTTCTTCAATGCAGGACAGCTAGTGGCAAGGGACCCCCTGGAAAACGAAAAGAAGTAAAGAACTAAATATGGTTGATGTTAAAAAATCTGAAGAACCATGTTTTCTTCCAACTTTGCAGTGACGGATCCAGGGGGAGGGTCCGGGGGGTCCGGACCCCCCCTATCAGACCTGACGCTTACAACTTTGAGACTGAAATTCTTACATCGACAGGATCGTATATCACTTTTTAACTGGCTGATTTTTTTAATGAAGCGTGCGTGGCAATTTTCCACTATGATCTGTTCGCCTCTGCTCGCAAAGCAATATTTCCCGTGCCAGCGGCGACCGGTGTTCACAGATTGAGAAACACGTGGTCGTCTGTGCTTTCTCAGCTGGTCGAAAATTATGGCGACAATTATGACGACAACTCGGCCGATAACCACGTTCTTTCAACCAGTCAAACCCAGTGAAATTGAAAATGAAACAGTTAACGGTGAAGAAGCTGAAGCTGAAGCCATGGAATTTGAAAACAGTAAGTTGTTTTACGCTTTTATTCCATTTCCTGAGAAATGTTAGTGACTATGGTTTAGAAGTAAATATTTGTACGTCTGTCGTTTTAGTTGAGCTTTCTGATTTTGATGCCGAAGTCTTAGTGGAAGGTCTAGTTTCAAACGGTGTTATCGAAGGTAAATGCTGCGTTGAAATTGGTTTCTTTTTTTTTCGGCTAGGGTACGTAAAATTAAATATCTAAACAAGCCTGAGGAAAACAAAATCGACGCAGCCAATTATTTACAGACCCGGCGTCTGAGAAGAACTCAGTATTAAAATACATTTCAACTTATTTCACTGCGTTTAGGAACAAATGACGCTATTAGTTAGATACTTTTCGCTGCTTTATAGGTGAGTATCAGCATCATGTTTACCTTATCATTATTTTATCGTTCTTGTGCGGTTTATCGAAAATGTTTTACATTTTCACTTCAGACTTAAGATCCAAACGCGGCATTTTGTAGTGCCGCTCGGGCTTGCGCTTGCTTTGCGAAAGTTTGTCAAGCGTGCATTTCATCGGTCTCAATACACGTAAAAACCGCGTCCAAAACGAAACAAAATGGAAAATAAATAGAAAAAACGTACGGACGGCTTGCCTCTGCGGAAAAAGTTGAATGTGGTTCAACTCTTAGTTTCCGCAGACGCAAGCCATCACACACGAAAAGCCAGTTAAATTCACGCCCATTGACGTTCGTAAAATTACGCGACAGTGGAAATCCACTTTTAACTTCTCATGATTTCTGGTCAAAGAACACGACGATCTCATTTAAGTTTTGTTATTGAAGCCCGTCTATTTCGTAATCTTTTCAAAGCATTTCTTTCACTCTTCATACAGACAGCGTATCATCTAAAATTAATTTTCAGTTTTCGGCAAAGCTTTAGCCCCATAATTTGACAATCTTAATATTTTTCTCATCACAGCGTTAGCAGATGAGCTTCTATATGTCGTATTCAAATGTTTTAGTCCTAAAGAGATTATAAACAAGCTAAGGCTCATATGCAGAAGATGGAGACGTATCTCTGAAAGTGTCATGTTGTGGACCAATGTTTGCCTTGATGAATGGGGCATCACTCATTTAAGCGAGGATCAGTTAAAGAGAATCATAAAGCACGTACGGGGTTTCAGAAATTTCTCAGTAGCCTATATTGATGTCAAGAAACATCGATTCAAGGAGACACAATCTACAGCTCATACTATTTGTAACACTCTACGTTTGTCTCATGGACTTTACTATTTAAATTTGAGTGGCCAGTTGGTATCTAATCTGACCTTCTCGCAAGGCATGCGCCAGTTGGAGTATTTGATCCTAAATGATTGCATTGCATTGAAGGACATATCCCCGATTTCTTTTTTGTAAAAATTTAACTTTCCTTTCGCTTAACAGGGAAGTTATTCACGAGGGTGAGCTCTTGCAGTCTGTACTGCCGCTGTCAAATCTATTTTTCCTGGGTGTAAAGGGAAACGAGCTATCCTTAGAGTCACTTAAAAGAAATGTGCAGAACATTTTGCAAGCTTTCTGTTCTCAACTTAGACCTTAATATAGTAAATCGATCAGAATTTTTATCCTTAGCAAGCGAATTTGATATCACTGTCAATAATGCTTAATTAAAGGGTGCAGTACGTTGACTCAGTTAAGAAACATATATCAGTAAACATTTAGCTTGTCAGTGTTCAGTTTTCATATCACAGTCTGTTAAAAATCAATTTGACGATTTATCAATAAACGACTTCTTTGGTTTATAGGTGTTTCCCAATTTTCTTCCACTGATCAGCATATTGTATCCTACTTTGATGTCGGGGACATCGTAAGTGGCAAAGTTGATCCAAGAACTCTTCAGTCCCACGAAAAAATTAAATACCTTAAGAACCATTTCACTCCGCCTCCTCCATACACAGGCTTTTTCTCCAAGACTGTGGTTAAGGGAAAAGACAAACATACCAAGAAGCATGTGTTCCAGCCCTCGTGGTAGGAAAAGTATACGTGGCTTGTATATAGTCCTTCACAAATGGGAGGTTTTTGCAAATATTGTGTGATGCTTAATAATCCATCAGATCCTCGAGCACAGAAAAGGCCTCTAGTAACAGCTCCATTCCAATAGCTAGAAAAAGCCACTGGGAAAGAAAGGGTACTTGAGCGTCATCAGAAAATGCAATGTCACCAGTTAGCACTTGAAGCCGGCATTGCCATAATCCGAAGTGTTCAAAAACCAAAGGAAACCTTGCCATACAGGATTTCCACGCAAAACCAAGAGATGTTTGAAAAAGACATGAACGCACTTAGAGCAATCGTAAGTACCATAATATTGTGTGGCAAACAGAACATCCCTCTTAGAGGCCATCGAGATGACAGCACAGGCACGGCATCCAACAAAGGCAACTTTCATGCCATTCTTATGCTATTGGGCAACTCTGATAAAAATCTTCAAGAACACTTACTTACTGGTAGGAGAAATGCTACAAGCACCTCAAAAACTGTACAAGAGGAAGTCATTCGCATCACTGGAGGGTATATTCGGGCGAAATTAACACAGCCGATTCAGAAGGAAGACGCTTTTTTCTCAATCATTGGCGATGAGGTAACAGATAAATACGCGAACCAAGAAATATTAAGTATTTGCCTTAGGTTTTTAGATCTTAACAACGACGTTTCACTTAAGTTCAAAGAAGTATTTTTTGACTATGTCAACCTTGACAAAACAACTGGTGAGAGCATAGCAAACGCTATTTTGTCAAGTTTGGCCGAGAACAACATCGATGTGGCGTTTGCAAGAGGACAGGCCTATGATGGTTCCAGTGCCATGTCCTCAGAAGCATGTGGTGTGCGAGGAAGAATAAGGAGAATAGCACCGATGACACTGTACACTCATTGCAACAGTCACGTTTTGAATCTCAGTGTTACAGCCGCATGCAGGTTAACTTCAGTCAGAAACATGATTGGAACCTTAAATTAAACTTTCATTTTCTTTCATTTTTCACCTAAAAGACAGCGATTTCTAGGACAAGTTTTAGAGAAGTGTGGTTCTACTTCCAGAAAGGAGAAGTTAAGAGGCTTATGCAAAACCCGATGGGTGGAAAGGCATGAATGTTACGAGACTTTCTACGAACTTTACGAGTACGTTTGCATAAGCTTGGAAGCGATAGCTGATGATGAGTCGCATCCTCATGTTTATTCCTCGTTATCGTTCACGTGGGACAGGGAGACTAAAACCAAGGCACAAGGTCTTCTGGCAAATTTGAAGACATTCGGATTCATTTCCACCTTTTTTATCACAAAGAATAGCCTTGGAACACTCAAACCTATTGCAGCTAAGCTTCAGAAGAAAGACCAAGATGTCTTCCAAGCGTATTCTATGATTGACGACACTATTAAAGCAGTTGCCAGGGTGAGGTCAAACATAGAAGAGGAATGTCATGAATGGTTTGAAGACGCATCTAGACTGGCTGACAAGTCTCAGTGCCAAGAATCACTGGGAGGCAGGAACATAGGAACAATGCACCTAGCGTAAACCCGGAATCGCATTATCGCGTTAACGTTGCTATACCTTTCATAGATCATTTATTGGAAGAAATGAGTTCAAGATTCAGCGAAGACAACAGGGCTGGGGCCGAAATTTTTTCCTTGGTTCCATCTGTTGTGGTGAAGCATGACAGTCTTCGTAATTAAGCAGAAAAGCTACAATTTTGGCAACAGGACTTCCCTACACCGTCTTCTCTTCTTTCTGAGTTAAAGGAATGGCAATACTTTTGGAGACAGTACACACCCACTTTACAGCTACCGGGAAATCTTATCGAGTGTGTAAAATATGCTGATGAGGATATGTACCCCAACATACGAGTTTTGCTTATTATTGGTTGTACCCTTCCTGTTAGTTCTGCCGAAGCTGAACGTTCATTCTCTGGCTTGCGACGAATCAAGTCATATCTCAGAAACAGGATGTCTGATGAGCGGTTTTCAGGACTTGCACTCATGCACTTACATCATGACCTTGACATTGATGTTGACGAAATCTGTACAGTATTTGTAACCAAACACAAGAGGAGGATGTTCCAAGGGTGCATCCTTTACGAGTAGAATCCAGGTAAACGGTAAGCGGCCCAGGAATTATAACGTGCAACCGCGACTGGTGGGAGGGGGTGTGGGGGGTGTGGGGGGTGTGGGGGGTGTGGGGGGGAGGGAATTTTTGCCTCAAAAGAGTCCAAATAGTCCTTTCTGTACCAAAGTTTGGACCCCCCCATCAAAAATTCCTGGATCCGCCCCAGCTTTGTGATTAGATTATCTTACATTGTGTTAAATGTATTCTTGAGGCAAAGCTAAATAGATTTTTACTGAAAAGTAACGTCACTGACTGAAATGGAAAAAAACCGCAACTTCCGATAAGTACAGTTCTAATCATTTTCCAGATACAACTCTACTTTCTTCGCAGAGTCCAGAGAAATGCCTCAAAGCAACTTAACGGGTCTAATTCGAAATAACCTAAGGGGCGGCACGCAAAGCTTATTATCTTTGTAGAAACAATCCATGTTTAAAGAAGACAACAGTTAATCGTTGACACATGGTCCACAAATAGTCCTAGCCAAATGTTACAACAACATATAACAGGAACAAGCTAAAACACGTAAAAAGAAGAAACTCAAAAATAGCCTGAAAAGCGGCGCAGGTGAAGCTGATTTCACTTCCATGATTGAAGACCAAGGCCTATTTTAGGCTAACTCCGACAAACCCTTTTTTATACAGGTCATGGTTTTGAAATTAAAACAGTCCTGAAACTGTGTTGATTAGATAATCCAGAAAATACACATCACTTTCAACTGACGGTCTTCCCGTTCCGTCTTCAAGCTTCGGCGAAATACAACAACTCTTATAATGAATTTTTAAATGCGAAGGTTTTGGAACGGTATTTTTAGCTTTTCCGAAGACAAGACTCTTGCCAAAACAGGGTAAAGCTGGTCTTCACGTTTCTCTAAAACAACGTTAATGCATTTTAGGTCATTGTGAGAAAATTCACACTTATGAATACCGTCCGACGCAACTGCCGTGTAAGAAGGGTAAAGAAGAGATTAAAAATAACCCTCAGGTGTACAATACCCAGGAGGGTATAATAGAGATTAAAAATAACCCTCAGGTGTACAATACCCAGGAGGGTATAATAGAGATTAAAAATAACCCTTAGGTGTACACTACCCAAGGGGATACAGGAGAGATTGAAAATAACCCTCAGGTATACACTACCCAAGGGGGTATAGAAGAAATAAAAACATAACCCTCAGGTATGCATTACCTAAGAGGGTATAGAAGAGATTAATAATAATCCTCAGGTATACACTACACAAGAGGGTGTAGAATATATTAAAAATAACCTTTAGGTATACACTACCCTAGAGGGTATAAAAGAGATTAAAAGTAACCCTCAGGTATACACTTCCCAAGAGGATTATAGATGATTTTAAAAATTAACCCTCGGGTATAAGCTACCCAAGAGGGCACGAAAAATTGAATTCACACTTATTAATATCAGGAGACCGCTCGTAGTCTTGACCTTTTCTTTCGACTGAAAGTTGAGGCATCCACCGTTAACCTATAAAATCATTCTAACATACTAGTTCCCGAATGTTGTTGTCAAGCTCGGCTATTCTTGACTGACATCTTTGCAATTCCCCATGATTATTCGACTAAAGACATTCCCGGCTAAAGTGTACGGTCGAGAGCGATTTGACTAAACGCCGCATAAACAACAGGATTATATTTTGAGACCTCACGAGTCCATCTGCTGGAAATTCTCGCTGTCTAATTAGCCTGGCACAAAAACCAAATGAACATACAACATACATGTCGTTTGGTTACCTGGTGTTGAACGAACAGCCTTTGTTGGCGCGCTGAAGACTCGCTGGCGGGACAGAAGGTATTGCAGTCATCGGGGAATAGACGAAACATTTCTTTCTTTGCAAAAGCATTCGGCTTGATTCCACATTAACTTTTCGTTAGCACTTACCAGCGATTTTTGGGGTCGTATTTGGATGCCGTAACTCTAGAAAGCTCAGCCGATCGGTCGAAGACTTCGGCCTCCATGATGAGATCGCGCCAAGTGATTCCGATCCAAGATTTATTGTGTTTTCGCGCTTAGATGAAGTATTAATTATTAGGTGAACCTTTAACTTATAATCAACAGGTTTAAGTAACCGCATAAACACCTACCAACTGCCAGCTTTGATATAATTCTCTACATCGATGGCAGAAATGATAGCGCGTCTGTAAAATGCACGCTGCGAATTTTTTTTTCGGTGCCAAAGCTCCTCATGTTATTTCATCTTAGTAAGGTGCGTAATTACAAAAAAAGCCTGAATTTTACGACGATTGATGTCCGATTACAGCTGCCAAATGAGAAACTGGTGATAGCGTTGATTACGATCAGAGGTGCAGAAAAAACATTCAGCGACTTATGGTTTGTAGACAACCAATCATCCATTATTAATTTGTTTTGTTGAAAATTACTTTGTTTTTAGAGAATGAAGAAATATAAGATTCGATCGGTTGCTAGGCTTGAAATTCTCACTCAGTGTTCGTGAAAAATATAGAAAATAATCTTCCTTGTATTCAAGATCACAACCAAGAAGTAATTGATGATTTTAACAGTTACAATTACAATGCATCGGAGCGCGGAATCCGAAGGTCTGAGATTCGATTCCTCATGGGTACTCAGCATTTTTTTCTTTGTCCCACGCTCGTGACGAGACGAAAAAACAAAACATCTTTCTCTGGTTACAATTCTCTTTGACAATGTCTTCTCACTGTGGCCGTCACCTCTCCATGGTAACAGGACACTTCATAGGCTTATTGCAAATTATAATCGCAACTGATTATATCATCAGTTTGTCAAATCCAGTCTGTAAAAACTGCCAAGAGGCTGTAAACTTTGAATTTTTTTGTTTTGTTTTGTCACTAAACATGCAAAAGGTTCTCAGTCTCTCAAATAGCAATAGCTTTTTTTCACATTTAGCTACATATAACTCGATTTCTCGGAAACTTCGTCAAACCGACATTTGACAGTAGTTGTTTAAATTCAAAGCACGTTCTATTTGGCTGTAGAAAACAACCCTTAGTATGCTTACTTGCCATATCCCAAAAAAATCCTCCGATTTGGCGGACAAATGGCAACAAATGAAGTAGAGACGCATATAATATGCGACAGATGAAAGAGCCCGATCTTCGCTCGCCTTACTGCCAACTTTATGTTAGTATGATTTATTATCACAAGTAAAGGAAAACTTAACATAACTTTATATTGGTGAGGATAATTTCTCAAATAACTAAGTCAAAAAAATGCTCTTCCACTAACACTGTTTCAGTCAATGCTGAACGACGAATTATACAGGCAACATGTATATATTTATTACTGATATCATGAAGAAGGCCGAGGAAGCCTCATGTTGTACTCGCGACCTAAAGATTAAATTCAATTTCAGAACATGATTTGTTCGATGGCACACGTTGAGTTTAACTTTAATAGTTTAGAGTAATATTTCCTCTTTAAGCTGTAAGATCTTTAGGCGTTACCTGTTGTGGAATAAACAGGTCAGTTTGGTCTACGGTTCTCACAGAAGACATAAGGTCTATAATACGATTCTACTGAAACCAGCAAAACAAATGTTCCTATCTTTGGATCAGTTTGCTAAAAAACGAAACTGATAGTTGTTGATGATTATATAGTTACATCCATCAGAGTGCTTGCCGTAAGTTCATGTCCTCGACCGCATAGCTATCTTCAGAGACAACAGTGCGCTCTTCGTGGTTGATTCAATCTTTCATGATTTTAAAAGAATACAGAAAAGTGAAGATAGTGTTGTACACCGCGAGAAATAGGAAGACGCCGAGCATGATGCGAGAGGTACGTTTAGCCTTATCCATGATATGAAAAGCTGCAGGGTGAAAAACTTGGAAGTAGACTCTTCCAGAATTTGTCTTAAGGAAGCCAATTTCCATATCGTAACTGGAAAGAGCGATCATTTCGAGTTCAGCGACAGTCACCTCGTACAAAACGTTGAGCGTCTGCAGATCATTCTTCAACGGCTGTTTCTTGACGAGTGGAAGAGACCTTCTGTTGACCATTTCGTGTTGCAAGTAGAAGGCAATAAATGGAAAACCAAAGATCAGGAAAATTACGGCGTAAGGGAGCGAACCAGCGCCACCAAAACTTAACACAGCAACAATAATTGAAAACCACAAAGGTACACCGCGGTAAATGGGTAGGTCTGCTTTAGGCATGAAGCGCCTGCTCTCTGTGATGAAGATATTCGTGAAACGATGCACAGAAGCGTGAGGAATATTTACTTTACGGCCAACACTGTCTATTCTGGTTTGCCTGTAGCGAAGAAGTTCAGCCGCGAATGACGCAGACATTGTCGCACCGATAAGAAACGTTCCTGAGCCTAGTCACGGTCGTGTAACGATTCTATCCGCAAACAGAAGCCGATTTAGTTCTTTTCTGTCTCGGCAGCGAGGACAATTGATCGTTCCTCGTCTAGCGAGCTATGCCTTTTGTGTTTTACTGCTTATAAAGCTGAAGAATGTGAACAAATGATGACAAATTCTGAGAAGACTTTCGAAGAATCACAATTTAGCGTGAAGCAAAACAATGATTAGCTATTTCGGTCTTTCTGGGAAATTTGTAACTCTAGCCAACCAATCTGAAGGATTTTTCAAACTGTCATGGAAACCTGTGGCCTACATTTTTTTTGTTGGAATTGGATTCCGAAAAAATGCATGGTATGATAACAGTGGAAAGGTAGATGGATACCAGCTATTTGATATTTTCTCAGAAAGAAAGGTTGTATTTAATAATCCAACATGCGGCCGACTCGAAGATAGCTAACCTAGTAAGCTCTGCATTCCCCTCGACATATACTCAAACTGAGGCAGCTCCCTATCTCCCCCACCACTAGCTCGAGAAACACTTTGAGGCGCAATAATTTCGTAAGTTTTAGAACCACTGTTTCCAGATATATATCCATGCAAACCAGCCCTGCTTATTATTGCTTATCACATAATTTGTTGTTACTCTAAGAGGTCAACACTTGGGTGAGTGTTGTCACACAATTTTCATATTGGATGATTTCAAGAATTAAAATTTAACCAGTTCACTAAATTCTCACAAACAAGAGCTTAAATATGTCTTGTCTAAATTGTCTTCTGATTTTAGCTTTATTTCTGTGCCTATTTGTATCTATAAATCAGGAATCGCAACTGAGCTCTATGATAACTACACTTTTACTATCATCTTCATAAGATATTATCCGTCTAACGTCGACCCGGTTAGTCAATAGGCTGCCACAAAGTAGCAGTTGTAGACAGACGCCGCCAAGAAAAGGAGAAGCATCAATCGAGACTGACATTTGGCGTCGGACATGTATTTCTTCGCGGTATTGTTGAATGCCTGAAATTGAATCTTTCCCTGAGAAAGTTCAACAAAACCAATACCAGCTTGGTAATTCTGGAGAGCAATTCCATCAAGTTCAGTGATCGTCACTTCGTAAAATGTGTTGAGGTCTCTCTGACCAGGGATGAAGGGCTGTTTATGGACAACAGGCAAGGTCTTCTGATTCACCCACTCGTGTTGGCAGTAAAACAAGAAGAACAGCAGGCAGGCAACGAGAAAAAACACAGGAATAACCTTTGATGCACCAGCTGCAACAAGGGCTCCAAAGAGGCTGGCAAAGCACAACCATCGCGCGACTCTTAAAAAGTACGGACAATCGATGTAGGTAAGCAACTTATCTTTCGGGAAGTAAGGTTTGCTCTGTTCGATATAATGATTTGTATGGGCGTGGATTTCGTCTCTGACTTCAGTGGTGGTACCAACATCTTTAATTTCAATGTGTTTGGAGCGTACCCGTTCGATTTCGGTTCTCCCTGGGTTAGCGATCAAGCGATCTCTGTCAGACATATTAGTTTACCTCCAAGCAACGACAACCTAAGAATGCAATGAACTAAATTAGTCAGACAAAAATAATTCATTTCTATACTATATACTTTACATATTTTCTGTTAATTTGTCATAACAATACAGATGGGGTGAAATTTTGCAAGATAATAAGCTCTAAGTTCGATCCCTTGCCACCAGATCCGCAGTCAGTTTCATATCAGTATCATACGGTACACTTCTTCATAAACTTAGCGAGGTTATTTACAGGATCATAATTTGTTTTGAGGAGAGATATCTTGAATTACTACTGGATCAGAGTTTACTGAATTATATCAATTTTACTCCTACCTTTACTGATTTAGTCCGAAAACCTCCCACGAGTATAAAATTAAGCACGAAGCTCTTTGCAGTGCGAGGACAACAAGCACCTGTGATGACATAAGATACCTTCTGCGAAATTGAAAATGTAAATGAACCCAGTTCCCCTCCTCTCCGGACATGGTGGCGGGAAACCTCAAGTCTCTTTTTTAACCGAAGAGATAAATTAATTTGTCATCTTCCCGTCAAATCCAGCTTGGGAGGTTAGCAAATTTGAATTCTGGATGTGATTTATTGTATTATCCTCGAGACGGGTCTCAGTTCTCGCAACTGACACTGGCTACTTACATACGTTTGTTTACGCATTTGGTAAAATTTGAGCCATTTCGGTTTTCTCGGAAATTGTGCTAGACTATCAACCGATTTAATTGTTTTTATTCGAACACAGCGCTCCATTCGGCTCTTAGAAGGAACTTTTATTGTACTCACATGACGCAGCCTTAAAATACATTCCTAAAGACTGGTAGCAAATTGAGTAACAGCACAAATCTTAGGTGACTATCAAGTACAAAAGCTAAGATCAAATTGATTCTGTACTTGGCCTGTTTTCATTTTATGTCAGTATCTTTCGTAATCGCAAGGAAGCGAAAACCAAATACAAATTCATTTGATGGATGAGATTCTTCTTACTAAAGCGCTTGTTGAGTTTATCTTGTACAGCATTTGACAGTATTTTGCCTTTAGATTAGCATTTTTCTGAGAATTGTCTGAGAGGGTATGATATAGGTTTGTTCTATGTGGAAAACGTTTGACAAGAGTATGTTAATGCTATCTTCAGTTTAGTTTCTCAAAACGGAGTTTATCTACGTTTTTCCGTAGCTATATTCATCGAGGTTCTTGCACTGTTATAAACGTCGACTGCGTCGTTCCCTTTAGAGACAAGAGGTGCAAAGTACGTGATTAATTCACTCTTTCAAGATTAAAGAATATAGAAAAATGAAGAAAGTATTGTACAAAGCGAGAGACAGGAAGACGCCGAGCATGATGCGAGAGATACGTTTTGCTTCATCCATAATCTGAAAAGCTGCAGGGTGAAAAACCTGGAAGCTAAATTTTCCAGCGGTTGTCTTAGTGAAGCCAATTTTCAGATCGTAACTAGAAAGCGCGATCGTTTGGAGTTCTTTGAAAGTCACCTCGTACAAAGCGTTGAGCGTTTGTAGATCATTCTTCACTGGTTGTTTCTTGATAAGTGGAAGTGACTTCCTGTTTACCTGTTCGTTTTGCCAATAGATGGCGATGAAAGGAAAACCAAAGATCAGGAAAATGATCGCTCCAGTGAGCGTTGCAGCTCCTCCGAAACTCAACACAGCTACAATAACTGAAAACCACAAAGGGACACCACGATAAGTTTGTAGATATGCTCCAGGCATGAAACGCTTGCTTTCATCGATGAAGATGTTGGTGAATCGAAACACCGAGGCGTGGGGAATATTCACTTTGTGGCCAACATTTGTTTTCCTTAAGTGAAGAAGCTCAGCCGACTCTAACTTGGGCATTCTACTTAAATACTCTTTAGCCAGTCGAAAAAATCTCCAGTGAACGAGGACGATTGAGTTCTCAGGCCACTGAGAAGGTCGTCGACGTAACTTGTAACTCTTACTCGTCCAAAGAATAACTGTATCATGAGTCGACTTAAATTTTTTAAGTTTGGTGAAATGGTAATTTATGGATACAAAAATTTTCTGCGAGCCTGAGTAAGAAGTCGATCACGCTTCGTGATAACTGAGTTACACAGGAATGTTGCCCCTTCTTGGAACTGTTGACGTAGAAATGCGAGATTACGGAATCCCAGGTGACTCAACTATTTATGTTTTGATTAAATAGGGTTTGACTTGTTCAAGAAATTTTGGGTCATCCGCGTTATGAATATGGTAATGAACATTTCATGCGACTAATCAAATCTTTCCCAATCAGTCTGACAGGCATCGGAAAGAGTTTAAAAGCAAATATGAGGTTGCTTGCAAAATAATTCTGCGTCTGTTGTGACAAGAAGATGGATATTCTGTTTCCAGTAAATGAAATCTTTTGATAATATATCACGCAATACAACGATATCGCAGTTTCAAGGGAATGTTGGCATTTCTAGTAAATTGTAACTCGAACCCATCGGCCGAACATCTGGCTGGAGAGTCCACCCACTGAGAAACAAGGCTATAGGATCATAAAATTTCTATTGGGATGGTCTCAATAATAGAAGCGGGGACGGTGCTTGTTTGTCATTTAGAAGCGTTTTCGACGACTACCCAAAATAGCCGCCACCATAAACTCCTTAACGCTGTATACATTGCTGGATCTTCACCCTTGTCTCAAACTGGTCCCTTGTTTTTTTTGCTCCTAACAGCCCCTCCCGACCCTCCTCGAACCCAAATAGACGACTCTCGATCCTAGGCAGTTACTGCCTTGTCACGTCGTTTCATTTTTTCCGATCCCATTCATTACCAACCATCCTCACGTCCCTACAAGTGTTCGTCTCAAATACTAAGGGCAACAAATACAATAAAATCTGTTTTTTAAACTTTTAACTATATACATATATTATTTCAATGATTTTGCTGTTCTAAAAGTATCGAAAAATGTATGCTATACATATCCAAAATACACTGAAACCTTTTCCCTCAAATGAAATATTGGTACAACAGAGTATTCTTTTAGATAAACGACCTAATTCCAATTTACTAAACTGTCAATAAACGAAAGTCCTATTTTCAGTTAAGCCATACACCTATCAAAAATCGTACATGGTTTGAAACTAATAATTTAATATAATTTATAATTTAATTTCAAAGCGAATTAGCTCCTTTTAATCGAAATAGACTCATTCTGTAAGCGGCAATATCATAAAGTCAAATCAGTTCAAAAATGACGAAACTTTTGATGCAGACATCTTCGGTTGGCAAATCACAGTGGCGCTCAAAACACTTCCATTATCTTATACCAAAATCACATACGAAAGTCGAAGAAGAGAAATACTGCAAGCTGGATCAAGCCATATTGACCTTACTGTTTACATGAATATTGTTGCGATTCTGACTTTAACTATAAATAAACTGAGTCTTCTTTAACTATTGATATCCTACCGTCTGGAAATCATAGAACTCTGGGTTTCAAAATGATTCATTTGAGAAATCAACGACTTCAAAATTTGAAGCGACGTTATCCACTTTTCCTGGATGACGCAAAGAAAAAAGATGACCTTCCCAAATGACTCGAACAATGCATCAGGATCTTTAAGTCGAGAACTTCCCTGTTAGCTTGTTGAAAACAGGGAACGTCGCCGACTACCTGAAACTGAACGAGCAACGGTGTTGCAGTCATTTACATCAGATCCCAAAGATCTCCGATGGAACCACGAAAATCTTCGAAGTACCGATTGAGATTTGTTTGTATCTTCCGGAGCTTTCTCGTCGTCCTTGTGCAGAATAGCAACGGCAGCACTCTTGAACACCTCTTGAACATTCCAGCGTGTTTTGGCGCAGCATTCTACATAATCACGTGCGGCGATAGACTGTGCCACTGAAATAGCCTGAAGAGAAAAACGATAGTCATCTCAAGAGTCATTTTAAAGACAAAAGAAGTGTGAGGTCTGACTCGTTCAAATCATAAACGTTGTCATCAAGAGATATCAGGGAACCTGGGCACAACGTTTGTGAGATGTGGACTGCAGCCGCAAGTGGAGTGTTCTCCGCTGACAATGTGACTTACCTGGAGTCTGTTGATGCTGTCACTCTCCTCAGACTCCTGACCCGGTACGGTTAGATAGAGCTGCAGAGCCGCGTCAGTGCGCAAGTCATTCTTACAGCCAATCAACAAGTAGGGAACTCCTGGGCATGCGTTACTGATCTCGGGGACCCACTGTTAAGGTAAAAAAAAAAAAGATACTAGGAAATAAAATAACGTGTTTGGCCATTGCAAGTTTATGATTAAATAAGACACTGAGTACCTTCTCAACGACGCTTGTTAATGATGGGGGATGACCAATATCAAAACAAATGAGAATGACGTCAGAGTCACGATACATCTCCTTTCTGATGCTATCAAAGTCCTCTAGACCTGATGGGAGATAAAAAGACATCATTTGTAAGATTAACAAAACTGTATTGAAACAAAAAAGTTTATAGACCAAGAGAAAATAATTTCCCATTATCTTCTTTTGTATTCACCCGTTTCAGGTCCCTGTGGATGGAGGTTAACTATAGGACACAAGCAAAAAAGAAATTTAAAAAAAAAAAAGAAAAAACAGTACTGAGAAGTAGTACTTTTTTCCCTTTGGTATGAATTTCTTTTTGCCTTTTTGCCCTCACTTGGCAAAGGTCTATTGGTAAGAGAGAAGGCTGGTAGTTCATTCAAGTTTCGTATTTCTTCGTGGAATTCAGGGATCTCCCTTGTTTTCAGCGCAACAGGTAAGGGACCTTTTCAAACCAGTTAAGCACATTTGCAGCTTCAGGCGGCTGGTCATTCTTAACTTTGTCATTTCCTAGAGCGTACAGTACATCGCGCCTATCAAAAATTCTCCACCGAAAAATTCATAATGTGAACGATACACCTTTAGGTTCAGAGGTTGAACAAAACAAAGTAAAATTTTGTTTAAAAGCATTATATTTGACTATGCTCTTTCCAAACTGCTTATAACGTAAAATGGTCTCCCTTCGATTTCGGGTGATATCTCTGGCGTCACTTACATGGCATATCACTGGGAAATCAGCGGTGCCAGCTACGAATCGCATCGCTATGAAATCGAATCGCATCAAATAGCTGAATTCGTATTCTAATCGTCTCAAATTCAGAACTTTTACGCTGTCGAGAGATTTTATTTTCAAGGCTTCTTTCAAACTGTTGTCTTAAATACATTTCAAGTAGAATTTCACGATGAAGACTAGCTTTGTCCCCACGTGTTCGTTATACAGCCGGCAATTGTAGAGCTGTCAAGGCGGTTATTTCTGGCAATTGACTGCCTTTCCATCGCTATTACGTAACCTTTGTTTTGTTTACCCCTAAAATTCTTGTAAAGCTTACCAGCCACTCTTCGTGACCTCTTGTCACTGGACAGAAACGACAGCATTATTTACTGCCGTTTCATCGTGGAAACTGAAAAACTAAACGACACCACATTTGCAGAGAACTGACAAATGTCATGAGATTTAGCAGAAAGCCCGCGAAAAATCACTCTTGCTTCGAAATTCGAAAGGTAACAGTCAGTATTAGCTAACTAAAACACACGTAGATCTATAATAGTGCACACTGTTGGCTTGTTATTACACTTTCTTACCACACCATAAATGCGTATTTTAAAAGGGTTCTGAGCGTTTGCAGGCGGTAATAGGTGCTCTTACAAGCGGTAAATTTTACCGGTTACCGCCTGATAAGGAGAACCCTGGGAATTCGTACCTGATATTTCCCAAAGCATAACTTCTATTCTATTTTCTTCTGTCGTGATATCTGCCACGCATTCGCCAAAAATGCAAGATTCTTCTGCCTGTTTTGGAGGCAAAACACAAAATTTTAGGAAAGAACCGTCGAGTACAGTACATAATGGTCATAACCCGGCGAAATAGAAAAAGGAGGATAACTTAACAGTAGCCATCGATAAATCAATTGATTGGCAAGCAAGTCTGCTACAAAGTGGGTCAGATAGTCAGTCAAACTGTCAGCTAGCCACTCAGTTAGTCAGAGAGTCGGTCAGTTTGTCAGTCAGTCAGCCAGCCATTCGGTCAGTCTGCCCGTCAGTCAGTCAGAAAGTCGGTCTGCCAGTCATCTCGCCAGGTAATCACTTGGTAAGTCAGTGACTTAGTTTACTAGCCAGCCACTTGGTCAGTCTGCCAACCTGCCCTCCTCTCAGTCAGTCAAACAGTCAGTCAGTGAATGGCTCGGTCGATCAGTTGGTTGCACCATAAGATTTTCTATTTATTCATTAATTCCGGCCCCCTGTGAAGAATAGAGCAGAAACTGAAGAGAAAGATGTTGAAATTCAGAAAAAATGCATCACTGCATAGCAGTACTTACTTCAAAATCACTTCTAACGAGTGCATTCAGCAGACTCGTCTTTCCGCACTCACTGTCGCCAACGACGCATAACTTGTACCTCTCTGTTTGACCTGAATACTCCAAGCCTCCCTCTTCGTTTGAGTTCGCATCCAATGAGTCATTGACTTTTTGACTCTGTTGGTGCAGAAATGCAAATCAATAATCGATTTTAAGTTTTGAGAATAATTGCCTGCTTTAACGTTAAAGCCCCCTGTCGTTTAGCAGGGGGAGACGAGAGGATTGGATTCCGGTGCAAGAAGTCTGGATACGACACCTGGTAGAGTCATTATGTTGTGTTCTTGGGAGAGACATTTCACTCTCGCCTTACCTATTCCCGCCAAGGAATTTGAGTGAGAACTGGCGAACTGACCGGCAAACGTGATGATTCCAAGAGTAACCTGCAGTAAACTAGCACGAGGCCCTAAGGTTCTGTGCATGTAAGGTTAGTACAATCTAATACTGAGCTGTAAAATCAACGAGCAGAAATTATGTATGATTAAGATGAATGATGTTGAATGGTTGTATCAAACTTACAGAACAGCTCTTCATAATGATCAAATAAAAAAAAGGTTTTCTGGAAAAAAGAGTAAAACGAATGGTAAAGTAGTTGGATTGTCGAATTTTTAGAGGCGAGAAACAGCATCGAAAAGAATATCATGAGCAACTGTAATCCTTTACACGTTACAGATTCTCATTTTCAGAGCCAAAAAAATTGTTTTCGCAAGAATGTTAAGCCACTGAAGAGGTCCTCTTACGAGAGGACCTCAAATGAAGTCACAGAAGTTAGAGGGGTTTTTCGCAAGCGTTGAAGTGAGTTTAAGTGTAATGTAAAAATACATGAAGCTTCCGGGCGTTTGCATTTACATTAACACGACATCTAATTCAAATATTCAATAGCTACGTAAGTAATTAAGCAATCCAAAAGCAAACAAAATCCTTTGTGGTCACGTAATCAATAACAACATAACAATTTGATAGATTTATTTTTACGACGTACGTTTGTGGCTACTGTTAAAAGATATATGATTTACATGATATAAAATTTAAACGGATAACTAGCGAAAATATAGATAATAACAAACGCTTATATAGCCAAAATAGCATAATGATGAGTTGCATAAAATTTGAAGAAACAAAAAGATTTTAAAAGTTTTAATTTATAATTCTGCAATAAGCACTACCAGCTCAATTTCAAGCCTAAAACTATACGTATAATCTTTGAAGTGCGTGCGATAAATTTGATATCGCGTCAGAAATACCAAATTAACCAGAGACAGCTTTTCCACACTCAATAGTTATTTTAGCGCGGTGAATTCTGATAAAAATGCGAGAAGCCTTACATTTCGTTAGCCGACTTCCCCTTTCCCTTTACGATGGATGTGATGGCATTAGTTCGTTTAAAACTCAGCAGAGAACTTTGTTTAATCATGTAATTTATAATCGTGCCGATTTGTTCGCGCTAAACTTCAATTGAGGGGGAAATTAAAAAGTGTAAAGATGCTGCTCAATAACTAACCCTCGGAGAATAAAAATATTCAGCGCTGAAATACAGGGAATAAAATTTCATTTGCATAGTTGCCTATCAACTTTCCCAAAAAATTAAGAAAGAGCCCCGTATTAAGATAATTGAGGATGATTTCAGCGCGAATCTATCCCACAATATTTAATGTGTTTAGCGCTCCATTATTCAGTAAAAGAACAAATTTTGTACGCTGTTTTCTTGAAAAGTTCGTACATTAAACTTAAGATGATGTGTTTTTTATTAGAGTAACTGCATCTTATTTCATCAAAGATACGAACCTTTAGGCTTTCAAGAGAGATATGATGTGACGTTCAAAACAAAACTTGAACTGTGAAATAAACTAAAATAAAATTATTCCGGCTAACAAACCTTGAAGAAAGAAACAGCTGGTAGGCTGAACGATCTTTTTTTCTTTCTGTTTCTGTGGTGTTTCATCTATGAGCTGAGAGGAACATTTGTGATGTCTTTCGGCTAGGATTCGCCCATGCTTAAAAACCAACTTGATTGTTTACGCGAATTCGTTTTCTCTTCGAAAAGGAACAGTCGCCTGAATTAGATGTCCTGTCTTTTAACTGGCTTCTTAAAAGCGCATTTTATTGTCATGTTTTCAAACTTTGGCACGTATGCAAATTAATTCTTATAAGAAACACCTGTGTTTTGCCGGTTGCGTTTATATTAATCATTATTTTCCAACTTCAATAGTTAACCTACTGGTGAAGCTGTATTCAATAAAGTGGGCAATCAGTCAAAATTCTTTACTCGTCAGAGCTTGCTTTAAAATTTGACTTTATTCGATCTCTCGAGTGTTCCGTACTTTTACGAACTTTCTGGTAAATTGATTAATTCAATGTCTTGCTGTCGGGAGTGTTTACATTTCTTCTGGTACTAGATACAAATTTTATGGAGATCAGATGCATTTCATTTAGGGAAAGCCCAAATTGTTTTTAGGAAAACGCCTGTTTAGTTCTAAGTTTAATTTCAAAATCTGACTCCTAATTCTCAGCTCCAAGTCGCCTTACGATTTCATCAAGATTAACATGTGCTTAGGTTACATCAAGAAAAACACTCTTGCTGATAATTTTGTTACTTCTTATTACCTGGTTGCAATATAATTTGGTGATATTGTAAAGAGAAGTTGCTTATTGGTCACCTCTGAGATTTGATTGAGTCAGGCTTTGTGAAAAACAAATCTGCATTGTTATTCTTTCGTCAGCCTAATGTGTACATTAGAATTCATCAAATTAAAATAACGATTATTCATCCTTCGTCAACCATTTTGAAACCATCTTGATTACGGTTGTACTGTAAGATCTTTTTTTTTTCCTTTCTTAAGCCTTTTATATAAACAGTAGCCTCGATTTGGCGCGAAAATATGCTCGTGGACATTATCTGTTCCTCGAAGCTCACAGCATTGTGCGGGTAACCGGTAAATCGTCTTTTCAAAGAACACAACGAAATAACCGGGACTGGAACCCAGACCTTCTGAATTTTGCCTAAATTATCATGATCTCCGCCTACTTCCCGTTTTCTATAACCAAAAATTTCTACAATCCAGCGAAAGCATTTTAAATAAGATCGCGCACAAAACATTTTGATTTGTTTCGTACCTAAATTATCATGATCTCCGCCTACTTCCCGCTTTCTATAATGACGCAAGGTCCGATATTCGATTGTTTTATATAAAAGCTTTCACTGATTACAATGGTCAATATATTCTTTTGTAAAAACCACAAAGGGAAACGAGCGAGATCAGTGGAGTGCAAAGCTGGCGTATTATTCACATCATTATCTTTTCAGTTTACGGAAAGTAAGAATGTATATCAAGAGTGCGTTAAGTACTTCCATTCAAAGCTAACCATTGTATGTTCTATCAACTTTGTAAACAACAACACACATTGGCGTTAAATTCGGTGAATTCAAGAACATGCGCTTTTAATTTGGAAGTTTTTTTTTCAATCTAAAATTCTTTAGGATTTGGAATGCAATGAAGAATCTCGAAGCCCTTCGGCTCGTTCCTGACATCAAATCAGCAGCTTTAATTTTCGTCGACGATCGCCGACGCAGAACTGCCTGTTGACATACTATTTTCCATAAGTGTTGGGCTCCACTTAGCTTAAAATTGAAACGGAATTCAAGCGCAGACCTTTGCGAACTGAAGACAACCATTAGCTTTGAAGTTTTCTTATTAGTTTCGTGCATTTTCGTCGAGAGATCAACAAAGCCGTTTTATTAGATATATGCAGGATTAACAATTAACACAAAAAATGCATGCTCACCGGTTTTTAAATTTTTGTAAATGAGTCCTCTGCATTCAATTAGAAATTATATAGATTCCTGAGGCAAAATCAATCAGTGTTGTGCAGCTGATAATCATTTATAAAATTGACATCTACATAACAATCAGTTACATACACAAAGGGTTTAATCGAGCCAATATTCTAGATTTACTCAGTTTTAAAAACATCTGCCCCCGCACAGGTTTCCATTAGATACCAAAATCTGTTTGTCTCTTAAATAACTCAACTCAGGGAATATATTAGAGCTACGGCAAGGTATTTCTTCAGTCATAAATATTAGTAAAGTTTTAAGGATGAAGTATTAGACCTTTTCAACCAAAACAGAGGTTGTCACTAATACAAAAACTTATAGCTAGTGGGTTGAAACATGTTCAGGTTTGGAGTGCCATTGTAAACGTATAGCACGCCTTCTTGTCATGCAGGGAACGAATTTTCTGGAACTGACTGTATTTAAACAGGCCTATGGTCACGAAGACAGTGTGGAACAATTATGCCGGTAAAACTGCTCTCAAAGGCCAGATTGATGCATTGTTAATCTTTTTGGCGGTTTACCTCACTGAGCGACGCGTAAGTTACTGATATTCGTGCAGTTTGTGCGACAAATGGATTATTATCAATTTACACCGAAGCTGCCTCGACTCTTTCACCATTGCTGGTAGAAACAGTTCGGCTGTGTTGGAAGGCTGTACGCAAATCCGGTTGTGTGGATAAATGCATAAGACTTATACAGCATTCTTCTGTTTCCATATTTGCAAAGCACTTGAAATGACACAAGACAGGAAAAATGAAACGGAACTACACACAGAGTATGGCATTAAGCGAAACTACACCTCCCGCTACGCTTAGACTATTTTTAGACAACCTTTAACTCTTTCTAGTTTGGTATGTTCAGTTGATCTTTTATAATCATTTAACACCCAAACGAACAAATTCCGAGGCCTTCTTACGCAAGATTAGTTCAGTTTTGGATAAGTGTTTTTCGTGAGTTCTCTATTTCAAACCATTCTCTGCTCCTCATGCGAAACGTATGGCCATACTTATCACAGATTTAGCTTCACCTAACTTTGTTTGAATCATCCTACAAGACGCTTTTTAACAGAGGATACAGGTATTCTTGAATGCACAATTTCTGTGATAAGCTTGAAAAGAATCACGCTCTTTAACCAAAGCTATAGACATGATATGAATAAAAACAATTAAAGTTAATTAGCACCTACTAAGCAAAGTTCGAGAGCCAAGGCTTCATGGAAAATGATTAAGAACTTAATCCTTGGAGTCTTATGTCAGCAAAATTATTGCGCAAAAGATAATAAACATCGGAAGTGTTTCAAAAAATCAAGGAATGTAATTGAATGGCGTATGAAAACTGATGCTTGTTGTTTTTAGACGACAAAATGACGGTCGTGACAGCTGCATGATTCTATTTCGGCTTTGCAAATGCCGAACGTGGCTTTATTTAAAGTAAGAGTTACCTACCAAATGCATTGAGTTGGTAGAGTTCCTTCGTCTCGATTCATCTTCCAGCAAGGCCTCTAGGCGTTTTGGATCCAACATTGGCTCGGAAATCACTGGTAGAGCACTCCTTCGGCGCGCCATTCTGTTCAGAATAGTCATGAATGCCTAGAAGACCTCTGTCGCAAATTGCGCGCCTTCAACAATCTTCCGATCTTCCGGCTCTTTGGTGCCAAGCGCTACGACCGGTATTTAAATTGTTCCCTAGGGCACCGAGATCCAAAATGAATTTAGTCCTACTATTCTTAGCGGCTCATCATGCACGACTCTTTGACCTTCTGCTTACAATCTTCTGCTTACTTGTGAATGATTGAATCTGTCAGTGAGATTCGGTTGTGACCAGGTGACGGTTGAAAGACTTCGCTCACGGGGGTGGTACTCACGAATAACGGGCTAAAAATTGCGTCATAACTCGATATCACCTGCCGCCTTTACAAATCTATTCACGGGTGCTATTTTTCCTATGCGTTTCACGAAGTACGTGATCGATTGATTAAACGTTCAATAACCGGTCTCGCCTGAGGGATTTTACGGTTGATTGTTTTATAATTGAAAGGTTCGGTAAAATAAATGAAAGTTTTTGTTCTCTTTATACCGTATTGTAAACAAAATGAAAACTACTCATCAGATCGTACCTAGATCCTTTGTGAGAAAGGGCGGGAGGAGTCAACTAGAATTCAGATTGTAAAAGAAAGGCGCAAATATTCCATTCCATAGGAGGCTTGGCCAAATTTTACTTCGAGAAGTTTCCAACATTGCCATGAGTTTGAAAACAAGAGAAAATCCTGTATGGATTCACGGATTCATTAGATATTGCAATAAAATACGTTTTGTTTAATAAGTAACGAGGGAAAAATTGTCATGTAGTTGTGAAAGAAATGTGTCTTGACTAGTCTAATCCAGCGTCTCCAATTGAGTCTTATGATTTCGGACAGATGTGACCAATCTCGAGCGGTTTCTTCTTAACATGTAAGATTCGGCTGTCAGATTCTGGGTCTAGTGGAGGTATTCAAATCTTGAATTTATTGACTTTAGAGTAACCGTGAGGTTGTTTCAGTCATGATTTACATAGAAGATAGTTATCAAACAAGAGGCAGTTTTTGAATTTTGTGGTGTTTACATCATGTCTCACACCATGGAAGAAACAAAAATGAAGACGTTTTAAAGTCGCTGTCACTCCTATTTTTATCCGGCATCATGGACGCAAATGCATTATTTCAAAGTTGGATTTTTTTCTTCACATAACGTATTTGGGTGAATTTGAAGAAGTTTTGGGGTCCATACAATTCAAATGGTTCAAAAACTAAGAGGAGTTTTTTCAAATTGGGTCTCAAACCATCACGAGGTATCATAAATTGGTCAGAAATTAGTTTGAAGTTACGTTTAATTTAAGGAAAACATCAAACACAAGTCAGGTAGTTGATTATCTTATGTAGTCTTTGCTGTCACCAAGGTCCCCCAAAAAAACTTAACATTAAAACTTATTAAATACTGGGAGTAAATACATTTTAGAATTTATGAAATAGATAAATGCATTTAAAAGGCGGTGAATGACAAAGCAAATAAATAGATGAGTGAATCATGATAAATGTACCAGTAATGTATTAAAATAAATCCAAAAATCCATTAAACAATTTTATTTCCGACGGAACAAAAGAAACTGCCCCGCTGATTGAATAATTTCGTATGATGACTGCCGACGGTCCGTATGATTGAGAACACGCATTTACGGCTTCCGACTCTTAATATACCACTTCCGATGTGAAGGTCGCTCGCTTCCGACCAGTAGTTTCCGATCTCAGACTTAGGTTTTCGACAGATTCCGTATCTTTGCGAAGTTCATCTTTAATGTGTTCTTTATGGTAGATATACAATTTTTGACCGCCTTGGGGGCGACTCACATGGCCAGTACACCGTGCATCCGCATTTAATAAATCTTCACTCTTCAAGTAACTGATACATCATTCAAAAAAAAGGAAAGCTGAACTGATACTACAATATACGTATAAAAATCTCTTTGATTATATATTGCCCAGGTTCAGTTGTTAAGGTCTCTTATCAGGGATCTCACCGATAGCGATGTCTACGGTTTCCCATAAATCGTATCCTATTTTAAAAATTAGTCTTTTGAAAATCAGTTTAAAATTATTCTGTTTTTCAAAAATAAAATTAAAAACTCGCTAGTTTCAGTCACGATTCAATTTACTTTGGCGAACATTTCCTTCATTTGCGATAGCTTTTCATACATTATCATCATATTTCCATATCTTTTAAAAACATAAATTTTAATGTCATTCACAAATTGCGGGAACAGGATTTTCCACCAACAAACATTAATTTTACATCACATTCATAAGTTTTCGAGCGGAAACACACTTGGCATATGGATATGTTTTGATTATGGGGTCAAAAAAATTAAATTAATTGCATTGAATCCCACGCTGAAAGTCGCGATAAAAAAAAAGTATTCAAAATCTTACGCTCACCTATTGAATAAATATGAAAATCTCCCCTACTGCGAAAATTGAAGAGAACGACTTTTCCATAGGTAGCTAATTTAGTTATGGCTTAGTAAATTCCGGTTTTCTTTATCTTTACGTAGTTCAGCTGTTTCGTCTTCTTTTCTTTGTCAGTTAAAAATGTTGATCTCATATTAGTTTTTCTTACATGTATCAGTCGTCACGGTCTTTGGATTAAACAAAGTTTTGCCGAAACGGCTCTATGGCTACTTTCGAGTGCGCTTATCAGTGCCTTCGAAAATGACGGACTTCTCGAATCCCTTCCGATTGAATTTCGATTGCGTGAAAGTAACGTCAAGCGCTGTACCCAGCCGTTAGTCTCGGAAATTTACAATCACATTAACTTTCCAAACTCAAACGAGATTTGGTTGATTTCAGTTAGGAACTCGATTTAAAATGTTGAGAAAAATTTTTAAGTTGAGGAGAGAATGTTTTTTTTAACTTACGACAGATCAGAACGTATTTGAAAGAAGAATTTAATTACCCGAGGGGGTAAGTGTAAAAAATCCCTGGGAAAACAGAAATCTGAGAAACATTCTAAATACTTGGGAATTAAGACATATGGATTTTAGGTGTTTTCTAATATCTTTAGCTAGGAAATAGCCCGATATGGTCTTTGAATACACGAAGAACAATATCTCAAGAATCATAATAAAGTTTTACAGACGGTTTCAACCTGGCCCAATTTGGTTTAATTAGGGCCTTGAGTTGCGCTTGACTCATTCGACTCTTTCACAGATGTCTTTTCACGACATGTATTTAAAAGCTTCTAGAGGTTATAATAGATACTTTTAAAGAAATAAAGAACAAAGGTATTTTATCTAAACAATGTATTAAAAGACTAAAACCTATTAGATGAACAGATGCGTAGCAGGCTCGCGTTCCCACACTCAAATGCAAAAATAAAAACTAGTCTGCTATAGGTTAAGTTTTCATTTCCTTTTCATCTTTCGCGCGATCTCAAGTAGGACTTTCTTTCTGTGTGTATAAAAGTAACTTTTTTCCGCTTTTTTCCTTCGTTAAGTAATTTTGGTTTTTCTAATTTGCCTCTAAAAGATTTAGAATTTCCTCATTTTGATAAACTTTACGTTTCGAATCTGTGAAAAGAAAGAAAAACTCAGCGCGTAATGTCAAAAATATTATCAGCGAGCAACGAAACTCGCGTATGGACTACAAGCTTCCTCGCCAAAAACACTTTGATCGGTCCTTTGCAAGGAAGCGTAGCCGAATTGGTTGAGAGAGTTCAGTTTTTACATACTCCTTCGGCAAAATTCAAGGTAAGCACTCCGTAATCAATATTTGTTGTAATATTTCGCTGCAGTTTTATAGTATTTTTACGGTGTAATGCAGACTAAAAGATATTAGGAAGCGGCCTCCGCGCTTTTCCGTGGATTGGCGCCTGTGATTTCAATAGCTTTAATTTTCTTTTTCACTTCAATCGATTAAAAAGTCGACACAAGGAGTACATGTAAAGAAAATTCCCTCTGATATGAGTTAATCTATGGGTTTTTATTCAGAGTTATTGGTATATTATATAGTATTATTATAATAGCAGAACAGGATAAAGAAAAGTCTTAGACAAGATAAAGACACAAATGTCGGGGTAATTTTCCATCTAAGAAAAGTCGGTTCTCTTGAAAGGTTTCATTTAGTGCACCACGAAAGATCTTCATCTTAAATTGAAACCACCAAAAATATGCTAAAATAGTGGAATTAGCGTCAAAGCTGAGAGTGCAATGCAAAGCCTTTACAAATCACCATTAAAGTTAACGATCAGGAAGAAAGTGAATAAAATCGAATTGCATACATTGATTTTTTTCTTCCGTGAATGAGTGTCCAATTTAGTCTTTCTTACTTTATACAACTTGCGCTAACTTTTAGTTCTAAACAGGTTTCGAGTTGAACTAGAATATGAATTAAAGTTTGGAAAGAAAAATCGATCATGCCAGTCGAATTGCAGATATCAAAATCACTCGAAAAGCTTCAAAAGTAGAACAATGGCGCCGAATTTACGAATTTTAAAATGACTATTTTGTGGTTCCTGATTATTCCAAGGGTATTCTAAAATGATTTAACTATGAATTTTATGGAACTTTCTCGGTAAGGTTTTAGCCTCCAAAAATACTTAGGCTATTTTGACCTCTAGTTGAATAAAGCTCAAACTTAGACCCAGAATTGAGTTATTCTGATCAATTAATTCCGTGGTATTTCATTAACAGAAAACGTTTTCGTTTTCAAATGAATTTCTATGATTCATTTAAGATTCAAAGCTGTTATACATTTTATTTTAAACTTAACTGCTCAACTTACGACGAAGGATTTTCTGTCGGCCGCGAAGTCATTCACATCAGCTTATTTCACGTTGTTAGACACATCTTTCCTACCACCACTGAAGAGAACACTGAGCAGTGTAATTACCTGAGAGAAATCATTAGCAAAATAATTAAATGTTGGCAAAAAAAATTTATAAATCTAACAACTTAAAAAGGGTAAGGCCCTGGGAGAGAAGGTCTACTTCTACATTTTTCTTGATCACATTAATTTAAATCAATTTAATCGCTTTTCTTTAGTAAGTCCTACAAAAATCGTTTTTGTAACAAGGATGGGAAAAAAATTAATTTTTAAGTTTTATTGAGAAAGGCAGCTATTTGTAATCTCCGGTTGGGTTTCACGCTACTGAAGTAGAGATCACTGAAGGCAGATTTCGATGGGATTCTCATCTTTCCATTGAATGGAAAAGCTACAACAAAAAAGTGCGTTTTTGATGGAAAGGTAATTGTTAATGGATTTACTTGCTTGTGTGGAATAATCCTTATAAAAGGGTTGGGAAATGATCTGCAGTCAGAGAGGGGTATGGGCTAGATAAGAAATTGATTTAAACTTCATAGTTTCAGCTCCTTGAAATCAAACTACTTCTGCTTTTCATAGGACTGAAATTTAATAGCAGCCGTCTCAGTGAAATGTTTGATTTAAAAATGTCTATCCAAGCTGCTTCACTTAACATCGGAAATAGATTTTAGATGAAAGATAGTTTACTAAAGAAAATTCCGCCGAAATAATTTACGAACAAAAAAACCATCCCGGGGTTTGATTTAACCCCTAGAGGGCTTGATGAAATCAGAAAGTCACTAAACAACCGTTTAGGGAAAGGGTGCATTTTTGACCTTCGCGCATTTCTAACAAATTCAGTTTTTTTGTAATTTATTTCCTCGGAGAACTTTTACAAAGCAAACAGCTCCGAAAGCAAATATTACCCGAGAAGTGCGCCTTCCTCACAAATATTTACAAACACTTAAGCTGTACGTGTTATCATTCACCATGTCAATGTTGCAATTAGCTCACATCCCCGATCAATGCTTAACTATTTAAAGACTGGTCCATTTTTTCAGAAGCGCCGCACACCTTGGAGAATAAGCGATTTTTTCATTGAAGACTTCATCTTTTTGAATCACTAATCAACTAACAAAATTAACGCATAATATCGAAATTTTACATTAAGTAAAGTGTGGTTTTAAATCAAATGCACGATGGCTCTGTGTGTGTTAATGAGCTTTGTGACAAATTCAAACAGTGTACATACTTCAATTCAACTTCAAAACATATGGGTAGTTCTCATAGGCCGGTGTTAATAGCCTTAACCGAGAAAGTGTGGTTTTTTTTTTCTTGTTTCAAAACACTTTTTTGTGAGAAGAGTATGTTTCTTGCGCAGAAATATAATCCAGAAATAAATGCACAGGAAAAGGGCCCAACTAGTTGGAAACTTTTCCTGATATTCTAAGCAATTTAAATGGTTTGTTGTTTTTGGCGCTTTTAGCTAATACAGGTGTCACAGCTAAGGTTACTGAACGACTCAGCACTTCGTATACCTTCAGTGAAGTCTCCATTTGAAATGTTTTTTTCAAACCATAACCAGTCAATTAACGAGTAAAAAGAAAAGATTTCTTAACCACAAATAAATTAAGAAATATTATAGAAAGTAATGTTTTGTGAAATGAAAAACAGTAGAAATTTATCTCAAGAACAAAGACAAACAAAAACACATTTGCTTCCAATCGTGTCAGCAATGAGAGGGATTTACTTTGCTCCGCGATCTGCAGCTTTTCCCTATGAACTTGTGACCTCGTCCCTCATAACAGAGTCTTGGGTCAAAAAAGACATTTGCCTCGAGTGTCAAAGGAATATTTTTGATGACATCTCACGGCGTAGTGTTTGGGAATCAAACATTTGGCGTTTCTTGACACTGCATTAGAGGGCGGATTTTTACAACAATGTATAAAAGCATTTTTCACTTAAAACAATGAGTATTTTTGAGTGGCTGTCATTTCTAGACCTCACTTAGCCCCCACTTAACTCTACCGAGCTATTGTTTTGCGCAATTAAAATGAAGAAGTTCTAAAACTTCCAAGTTATGTAACAGCCGTGTAAATTGAAGATTCTCCCGGATAGTTAAGACTGCATGGAAGGTAAAAACTGAAAAATCATTTTGTTTAAGCGTTGATCAGCGAAAAAGCTCTGTCTTTTCAACTCGTCTGAGTTCCCCTCACTCGAATGTGACCAAAAGACGAGGTGGAAATGCTATTTTATAAAAGCTGGAATTAGTAGACCTCTGTGGAACAACCAAATTCATTTGAAACGTTTTTATAGGTAGAGTCTGATAAAGGCAAACACAGCAACTTATTTAGCCAAAACAATGCGCCAAATATTAGTTCAAGTTAAAATTGTAGCGTTTTGTGAAGTCTGCCTAAACAGATATTATATGTTACCTTGCATGGGTGTAATTTGGTTCAATTTACGCCATTGTCTCGAGAGTCTTTTGAGAGGTGAGCTTGGGCGCACATCCGAACAGTGGCTTACGTGAGTTGTTCTCCAATGCAACAGGAGAAAAGTGAGATGAATCTTACCATGTAACCAACTTTTCGATACCATGATATCTTAAGAACTCAACTGAGATCTTGTAAAAGGAAAGCCATTGTTATAGATTTCAAACTTGTTTGTGAATGAACTTCTTTTTTCGAAAAACTTACGGAACATCGTTTTAGATATGTCCTCTTAAAGCGAAGGTAATTCACTCATGAAATGTTAAAAAGTACACTATTTTTCCGGATAGCTCGAAAAACCATATTCAATCTTTTCCTCAGCCGGAGCCATTCTTAGTTACCTATTGCTTCCATCATTGCTATGAATTTCTTGCATGTGTTAGTCTGCTTCTTTAAGGTTTAGGGACCATTCATCTCTCTTACGTTTCCAAGTCAAAGGCGTGCCGCTCGCTGTCTTCACTTCCTTCAGCACTGAAAAACACCTTCATTTTTATGGTTGACTTTTAAGTTTACAAAAGATATCTTATGTTAGAAGCTGAAGGTTTAGCCGCAGGCAAGTTTTCATTCGTTAGTTTAGGATGCGAATAACAAATGCAAAATTGTATTCACTGGAATAGCACGCAGTATTAGTCAATAAAATAAAAAAGTCACTTGAGCTAATATTTCTAATAAATTGGGCAAGAATACTCTACATGAATTTCCGGATAAATTAATTTACGACAGCCCGATTGGATCATTGAGCCTCGAGCATGAAAAAAATATATATTCTTGAGTATTTTAATACTTTTAAGAAAAGAATAGGCATTATCTATGTTTCGTTGTTGAAGACCATGGCAATGTTTCGGGACAGAAAAATCCACGCTTGACAACAGAAATCATAGCTTACGATGCAATTAATTCCTTGTCGGAAAAATAACGCTGTCTTTTCTTTGCTTTTGAAAAGACCGCAGACAGAGGAAACGTCATCGAACACGATTTGTCGCTCGGCGACTTTTCGTGGATGTCTGCTGTGAATCCGGCACGTTCCGAAAAGGAGCAGAACCTGCAAGTGATACGATCTCCAGACGATGATAAAATATATTTCCGAACAACAAGAGACATATTGTCTGGCGAAGAGTTTCGAGTGTGGCTGGCTCCTTCTTTAGAGGAGGAACGTGGACTGCAGAACGTTGAAAAGGAGGAATTTGAAGGTTAATAACTTTGCTTCTTTAATATTCCCATTACTTTCCCTCCTCTCTTATGCGAGGAAAAGATTTCTCTCAAGAAAGTGTTTCCTTGAAGAGAGCAAGGGAAGTATTAGTTAGTTTGAATCCGTAAAGCGGGGGTTATCAGCTGGTTTAATCGGGTTGACAGGACATGCCGGGAAGGGCTTTGACGCCGGAAGAAGGAGCCACATGTTAATTGAATGTACATAAAATAACGGAAGATTGAGCTAAGAAGTTCAATTTACCTCCCTCCCCAAGTTGTAGGGCTCATTCAAATGAAATTTAGTTTCTTATAGACCTGAGATGTCAGTCTGGTCTCCCGGAGGCTGAATGTTTCACGTCAACTTAAATGTTTTCCTGGCGAACGAGTATAAACGTCACATGGAATGTACACCTCTGCAACGTACATCGCACATAGTTGCATGCATAAAAAGCTGAACCACAGCCGCAGGCAGCTATGCAAGCTCTATTTTCTTAACAATGTGAACTCGAGCAGTGCTTTTCATGCATGGCCAAAGAGGTCTTTGTATCCTTTCGATTATTCGTTTATTTCCTTGCCCTTGATAACTCATAATTTTGTTTTTAGGTTCAAGTCATTGAGAATCAAGTTTATTTTAAAGTAAACATATTTTCTGACGTGAGTCAATCAATCTTGCAGATAGTCGATGGACCTGCGATAACTGTAAAAAGATCTTTCGATGTTCTCAAGCTCTTTCCGTTCATCAAACCTATAAATGCAAGGAACTGGGTTCCAACATCACCTTACGGAGAGAAAACAGTGCGAAGAGTGTGGACAGCGAGGATGATGAAGATTTAGAGGAAGAGGAAGAAGAAGAGGAAGAAGGGGTTGATGATGATGATGATGATGATGATGATTATAATGATGATGATGACGATTTTGTAGGTAGAAACTCATCCAAGCAATATCTGAAGATAGAACAAAGCTCGCAGAATCAAGAGAAAAAATCGAAGGCGAAGGAACAAACTAATGATCGAACTCATTCGACTGCGGACAATAGGCAGAGATGTTCGGCAGACGAAAGTGCTCCGATGATAACCAAGGAAACGTCGGTCGCTTTCGGCAATGGTCGTGTCTTGTCCAATCCCACGTTAGAGAGTCTAATTTCGAGTTTTACACCACCTCCCCTACGAAAGTTTTTGAACGAACCTCAGTCGTTGGCTGAGTACCATAAACAAGAATTCCGAAAGAAGTTTCAAGGAAACGAACATTATCTTCGCAGGCATCTTTATCGTGAAAACATGGAAAGGAAATTATCCTCCGCCAAACGTCGGCGCCTGTTAGTGAGGACTGAAGATAACGAATACTCCCAAAAAAGAGATGAAGACAGGTTCCATGTCAAAGAAGAGAACGGTGATTTTATAAACTGTTTCCAAGAGAATTATATCCTTGATCTGCATAAACGTAACACCATTCTGCCAACATTTCCAGAAAGTGAAATTTTGAGGAACCCAATTAAGAGTACATTTGGTCAATATAACTTGCGGGATGGACATTTTCCATTAAATGTGTCAGCTTTTAAAAGTTATGCTAATATCAGGAGCTCAATAGGACCAAAAGAACTTTCAAATAACAACAAGGTGTCGGCCGAAAACGGAAACGAAGGTCTACGGCGCGGCAGTGAGGTATATTTGCCACGTGAAGCAGATCGCGAATGCACTTGTAAAAGCCACAACGACACACAAGACATTTCAAAGCAAAGAAAAATCACTGCTGTGACCGATGAGGCGATGACAACTGAAGAGAACGAGGAAAACAACACGGTGTCACTCAGGGAACGGCTGGATCAAACAAGTCACATGCCAGACTACCAAAAGAGTAGACAAGGTTCAATACTTAATAACTACACTCGACTAGGATCCTGCTTTATTCATCAGAGAATGCAGCCAGCTGACAATGCACATCTTCGGCATCGAATGCAATGCCAATGCTATTCGTCTCCAGTTCCACGCGAGTCAATTGACAATGCCGCTATGCGCTTTTATGAACCCGCGTTCTTCGTCGATCAGAGGTACGGCTTCTCCAATTATCCGCACATGTTCCCGTTCTTTGCGCACCACACCAGCAGTCTGCCTCGGGCTCCCCAGCGAAACCAAGGTTTCACGTGCGATTACTGTGGGAAGGTGTACTGCAGGAAGTATGTACTGAAAATCCACATGCGCACGCATACGGGTTTCAAACCTTTACGATGTAAAGTGTGCGACAAGTCGTTCAGTGATCCAAGTAATATGAAAAAACACGTGAAACTGCACGAGACGGAGGACACTGTGCACAAATGTAGATATTGTGGTAGGAACTTTGTAAGGTATAGAGGTCTGTTGAATCATATCAAATCAAAGCATTCCGAACAACTTTCTCTTTAACCGTATGAATAAAGAAGCAATCAGCACGATTGGTCTAGAGGGTCACATGAACTGATACGCCTCTACAAAATTTGGGGAACATCAGGTAATATTTCTTTGGTGATATTCCCCAATTCCCAGACTTAATGTCTCGCACGATAACAAATCTCCGCTTAAATATTAATTCAAGATAGTAGAGGGTTTTGCTGTTGTTACAAAATGAGACACATTTCGAAGAATATTTAAGTATAAGTAGGTAGCCCATGCAGTAAAATTTCTGACGCTGAGGTATTAGTAAACGTTTTATTACACGTGCGTCAAAATTATTTAAAGGATTATACAAACAAAAGCTTACTCTTCCTAGAGCTCCGCTCACAGAAAATCGGTTTTAGCTTCGTGGAACAGACGCTGTTGGCTGATGAGAATATGAGCAAATGTTACAGTCTTTTAACAACATTAGTTGATTAACGAGCGAGTAGATGATGAGATTAGACAGCCAGGCCCACGGTAAACCTCTCCTCGACTAGTACCTCGTTTCAATTCTTCCCGCGCGCCACGGGTGAAGAAACGCGCGTCCTGCGGTGCCAACAACGAGGACACACTCGCAAACTAAGACATGCGGCATTTCAGTTTAGACCCCCTGGGTGTCAAAGTACTTTTTATTGTATCTTAATACACATTTGTCAAGTATTTGAGGCATCTTTAGTGCTGTATACAGACTAAATAAAACGAGGTGAAATTGATATCGCATTAAAATCCATTTCTCTATCATCAGAGAGTCGTAACAAAGCATACTGAGATGATTCGAGTGCTTACCAGAGAAACGACGAAGAAAAGAGAGGTTTTGTTCCTAAAAACATTAATGGCACTCTTCGAGAGTTCCTTGCTTCTAAACTTGATTATCATAGGTCAGTGCAGTCTAGTAAATAAACTTGTGACGTCACAGGCGGTGTTTTGACCCAAGGAAAGCTGCGCCCTCTTTAAAATCCGTGGACTTTTAACGAGGTAATTGAACCTTTCAAAATGAGAGATCTCCATTACCACTCTCAGTAATGAAAAGTAATTGACAAAAAACACGTGTTAAGCTCTTTTTGTGTGTGAAATACTTTAGAGTCCGAAGCGCTTTGACGTTATCGCCCGTTGTGTTTATGCATACCAGTGTAAACTGTTTGCTGTGGATCTGTGCGTGTGACGAACGGTCTTTGTTCGCTTTTAATTACTTTCACAAAGCGCCATTTGATCAGTGGAAACGTCGCTAATTTACATTTCCAGGTTCACGCCGTGAGAAAGAGAAAACCTGAGTCATTATACCGGTTTGGGATGGGTAACATGTGATATTAATACTTCTTGATGCACGACTGAAAGACATCTTTTCTTCCAACTATTCACGTCTGCGTCTTGGAAAAAAAATAAGGTAAGTCGTGACTGATGTCTGTTCCAGTGGGAACGATTTCTCGTATGATAAGTTTGGAACAGTAAAGATTTTTCGGTTTGTGGTGTGTTTCAGCGGTTAATGTTATGAAGATGTTACGTTCTTTTAACAATTTACTTAAAATTCCTTCATGGACTCTTTTGTTCCGGTTCGATTCCTTTCTATGTCGATGTTGGCCTTCGAACGCTTATTTTATCAGACAGAAAAATTTTGCATTCACTAATTCAACCCAAACGGTAGCCTTATAATTAAGTTAATGTCGCCATAATCAGCTCTTGGGGTTGTAATAAGACTGGAATTCCTGATCTCGCCGTCTCTAATCAACTACCTACAAAAAGCAATCGACTAGTTCGCTCAGTCGTTTCTTACAACGAAAGAAGCGTGGGATTCATTTTTGGGAAGAATAATTGATAGAAACCGGAGGTCATTCGTAAAAAACAAAATGCAAACAAATTGGCTCTCTTGTTTAAAGAACGCGAGCATCTTAAGTTTCAAGTAGATTCTTAAGAGGTTTCGTTGTTTAGACCTTTTTGATCAGCGTGACATAAAAATGTCTTTTATTGCCAACAAAAGTAATGATAAAACGGCGATCTGTTCGAGTTTTACAACTCGGGAAGCGCCCACCATGCGGGCGGTGAGGCGGTAGGAGCAAACAAGTTATTTACAATTGATCACCTAACATTACATTGAATCGCCGTCTGCTATGCATTTTCCGGCACATTTGTAAATTTACTATTCAGCTCTAGATGCCTTTTTCGCAGTCTGAAACTTTCTTAATCCATGGCAGTCGTTAATGAAAATCCTTCAAGAGGTTTATCGTTTAAAGTACTCATCTCTCTGATAAACACGGAGAGACAGATCGATTTTAAATGCAGGAATGATGGATGGACTAAACTTAATTTATGCGGCACTCGAATAGAGAGATTTTCGGATGAATTTTCCCTTGATGGGCTTATCACATCGCACTGTACCTAATTCTGGCGTCATAATCTTTAATCTTTTGCACAAAGAATACCGCTCGATAGCCGCACTTGCTCGCGATTTAAGACATGATTCACGCATTTAAAGTCAGATTTCACCAGATGGAATTTAGAGTGTAGTTCAGAAGTTCAGCTGTACATCTTACATAACCCTTCACTCGTCGCTCATCGCTTTTTAAATAGCGTTTTCAAGATCGATTTCACACACTATAAGAGTTACGACACCTTAAAAAATCCTTGTTAATTTTTTCAAGTTTGTAATTGTAATCTGTATAAAATCTTTGATATCCGAAAACACCTTGTTCCTTATATGGTATTAAAATCCGATCAGCCTAACTTTATTCTAGCGAAGCAATATTTAGTGCTCTCTGTCAGGTTGAAGGAAACTTTGGTTGTCGCAGGAAACCACTCAAAATATTGACACCCAGTTCTTCAAACCCTTGAGGCGAAAGTGATATATTCATGGATCAGCAGAGTGTTGCGGTCACGAAAATACCGGCCGCTCTTTTTTCGTTTCTTAATCCTGTCGTCAAAGCAAAATTACCTGTGTATGTTTCATCACAGAACAGATGTTGTTAATGAAATGCCTAGTGCGGTCAGAGGGACCATGGCAACTGAATTTTGGCGTTTTCAACCCAATACGGATCAAAGGTTACTGTCTGCACTGATTGATTTCTACTGAATTTCATTTAAATGATGGAGAAAAAAAACTACAACATGATGTAAAGGGCATGTTTAATTTGTTAAACTGTGCAGAACACTTCGGAGACGAAAAGCCAAACGATTTGTTTTTTTAGTTTTTTTTTTCATCCTAGTGGGAACAGCTGTTACTTTTTCTTAATTTCCATGCTGGCCGTATTTTCTTGCAAGAATGTTCAATAATTTGCGGAGTCAGCGTGGAGTGTCCGGAATAACAAAAATTCGATTGGCCTAAATTTAAATCTTTGGGTCTTATTTCAATAGTAACAACTAAAACAGAATAGATTTGTGCAAAATCAATTATAATTCTGAACATTATCTGCTTAAACCACGGCGTAAGGGCACACGAGAGTTAGCCGGTAAGTTTTTATCATTATTAAATCGCATTAAAATCTGTCGGGAGACCATCTAATGTTCATTTTCCACGAAATTTAATTTGGTTTACCTTCTTTCCTTGAGATCATTAGCTTCAAGACTTAACATAGTATCTGAGGGAGTTGTAACCCCAGTTAAATTGCAGACTCTCCTGACCGACTACTTTCGCCTACAGAAAGGTTACCGGTATCTATGCAGTGGCCTTGTATTGTAAGAATGCGCTGGATTTAAGGTGACAAACTTAAGTCAACGAACTATAAAAAGACTAAGCCTTAAACAAACTAATGAAATTCGGATTTTTGAAAAAAAAAAATGAAGCGGAATCGTGAATAAATTGAAAGTAGATCCTGGATTGGCCGAGAAAATCTAACTTAGATTACGGATTCTGTCTATTTTGAAGCACGAACTGTGGATAGGTTCATCTCTTTGTCTGAAGAAAAGGTGTTTTGCCCACTTAATTTTTCATTTCAGTTAATAGCATTTCAGTTTGTAAGCTTCTTTTCCGTGTAACCAGTAGACATGTATGGAAAACGAGAGGAAAAACTTAATACAGTAGAGGAAAAGCAGACATACATAAGTATACTCATGCGCTGGGGGGGCTATATCACGGAAAGTTTTGAGGATCGGCGAATTTGCTTACACCTATTTAGCTTTGACGCTATTAAACTTGAATTTTCCTAATACAAGTGAAGCATACTCGTTCAATGAGTGAAAAAGCTTACTTAAATTTGCGCTGACGATCAGAAAATTACGCGTATTTTCTCTTCAAAAAGACTAGGCATTCAATCTTGGTGACAATTTCGCACCGCACACTTGAAGCACACGTTATATTCTTACGACGAACATGTCATAAAAAATGCGAGGATGAAGCTTAGTTAAAACCTTTTTCCTCCCCAGATCTACATATCATTCTCTATACTGTCTTATAATTCTGGCCCTTAGAATCTCGATTAACCTTTAACTCTCAAGATCCGATTAGTCATTTTCCTTCTGAATACCATACAAAATAATTTGATTTACATCAAGATAACACCCCATAACTGATAAGCTTCTCTGCTCTCATGACCCTTTTTCTAGATGAAGTATTGGAATCGCAATGAGAAATTACAAGTTAATCACTTCTGGAGTTGAAGGATTAAATTCTTCTAAGCACCTTAATTAGGCAATGACTAAGTTTCTTATGATTTGCACAAAGCAGAGCTGGCTATAGCAATTATTAGACACGTTAAAATTTCCAATGTAACATAGTTCTACACTCTCCTGTTCAAAGTCTTGGAGTCTGTTTTAACTAAAACTAATCTATATTGGGACTAGTTTTACACGGTTTTATCATCATTGGAAAAATAAGGATATACCTGACTAAAGAACGCAAAGAAACTCCTAAACATGCTATTATTTCAGGCCGCCTCGAGTACAACTTCTTCCTGATTAGGAACTCTCAAATGACCCATACATAAAGTAAAGAGAGTTCAAAACGATCATGTTTGCCTGATATTTCAGGAGAGCAGATTCTGTCAGATCACACTTTTGCTCAAGTCATTGCAATGGCTGTCTTTAAAATATAGAATAGTTAAAATTTAGTCACGGAGGTTTAAAATCATTCATAGTCTAGCTCCAGCTTTTATAAGTGAACTGATTACTGTCACTGCTGTAAGACGTCAGCTGCAATATTTCCAGTGTGGATCCAAACCAAGTACCTTATTGAGACAAAAGGACATGCTCTTGTCTTACCGTAGAGGGATGTAGTTGAGTCATGGGTTAAAACTAAGGGACCATCAGTCTAGCGCTCTTTTTAAGTCTGTATATTGCACCCGTCGAGCAATCTCTTTAGATGTATCACAAAACTTTTTAAAGTTAGCAGCTTTGTTATGTCCTTGCCTTTTTCAGGGTTCAATTGACGGTGTCGCAAATCACAAATTGAAAACACTAATAAGTGGATTAAAATTTTCTCGCCGATTTTCGCGTCGACCATAAGTGGTACTTAAACGAACAACAAAAGAAAATATTGATTCTGTTGGATTAACTAATTAAGTAATTGCGCTTATCGCAAGATATTGATTATAAAAGGAACCTAAGAAATGTCACGTGACTCGTTAATATCAACAGTCAAGTGGCGATAAAGTGACACCTCACTTTTAGATTGTCTTAACCGAGAAGTTTGGTCGTGGAATTGTGTATTTCTGCGAGGGAAATGGGAAAAAAGGAGATAACTTCAGAGGTAGGAAAGGCGAGTTTGTGTGGATTTATATTGGAATAAGATTGTGGTAATCAGTTGAAAGAATGGCGGAAAATTCATGTCAAAAACTTCGAGAAAAGGGCGTAGGATATTTCGGAGTTACTTTTTTTCATTACTATTTGCTCGACTGTTGTTCGAACTTTTCTTTGTGTGCTCGAAAAGTCCACTTGATTTGAGCTTAAACACCACAAATTCGATGAAAAGAGCA